CCGGAAAAATCGATAATCCAGAATTGCCGAAGTCCCGACGAGTCCGGATTAACGACTTTTGACTGTATATCCTTTTTGACTATTTGAGAGAACTAAATAAATGTCTGTTAAGAAGTACTAAAAATATAAACAAAACATTTTTTACACCCCATTCCGAAAGAGTTGAGAATATATCCCTATGTGAATTCAGAGCTAAAGAAATTAAACTCTAGAATTTAAATTTCAAAAAAGAACTAAAAAGGAAAAAGCACATTTTAATGCATTGATAATTAATTATTTCAAATTATAAAAAAAATATACGGTAGGTAAAAAATAGTTACTAAAAGACTTAAAATATCTTTATTTTCTGAAACATAAAATGGGTGGCCAAACTGAAAAAAAAGCATATTTGCGAATACTAAAAATGCTGTGCTTAGCAAAATAAAGTAACTTTTGCGATTTCTTTTAACAGTAAGAAATCTTAAACATTAAAGCACTTGTTATAGCATTTTACCAATTTAACACTCCTTCTGCATAAAACTCAGCTGCCTGTGACTACAACCAACTTGCCAAGTTCTGCATCATCAGCGAATTGCAGTGTCCCAAGCTACTTCTTCATTGCAAGGAACAGATGGCAATTAGAATGAGTGAAGTCTTGGCTGTAAGAAGGATGTTTAAACACCCCATTTGAATTGGCACAAAAGATCTTGTGTTCACTGAGCACTGCTATCGCACAGAAACACAACCCCAGATGTCAGCAGGCCGCTATGTTTGTTCTGGAGCCTCTTTCCAGTTTTCTTAAAGTGTTACAGTAAACTTCAGAATTGATAGTTGTACCACGTTCCGTGAATTCAACAAGCAAGATTCCATTAGCATCCCAAAACAGGGTGACCATAGCTTTCCTCGCTGACAAAGGTTGATGGGCTTTCTTCAGTCAGGTTTAAGAATTCGTATTGTCCTCTGCCACTGACTGTTGTTTTGTCTCAGCATTCAGATGCCCTACCTAAATCTTGTTGCTAGTCACTATTTTGTTTAAAAATTACTCCCCTTTCGTGTGGTACTAGGAAAGAAAGTCTAAGGCAGTACCCATTCGATTGATTTTGTGGATCTCCATGGTTACTATCAAACACAGAACTTCCAGTACCTTAATTTTCTGGTGACTACCTTCTTCAAAAAAGTTGTTTGACTAGATCATCACTCATAATCTTTGGGCTGTATATGATACACAATATACAATTCGTGTCTGCTGCTGACAGCTTTTTTGTCCAAAGAAATTGTATTACTCCTCTTACCTCACATTTGGTAGGAGTTTCAATAGCAATGCACATTTTGTGATGTTATAACCAGCACTTGCCTGTAGTACAACACTCTCAGTAGAATAGCAGGAAGCTTAGTGAATCACAGATTGCTCAATGTAATAATGGTTACCTTCTGGCCACTACTTCTAGAGCCATGCGACAATGGAGGTTACTTTCTGAATTGCCTCCATATATACAAGCATATTTATATATATACATGCATATGTGATTAAGTTTTGAGGTAGAAACTTAGAAGATGCATGAAGAAGTAGACATATGATGATGCATAGACTTTTGCTGGTGAAAATTTCTTCATGTAATAAATAGACAGTTGTTCTCTTAACTGTAATAATTCAGATGTCAGTGATGTAAATGTATGATGATATAGTAACAATCATGGCTGGTTAGCACATTTTAGTTTGTAACAAAGCATTTTCTGAATACAGACACAGTTAAAAGAGATGTGATAATGCATATGCTTTTGGTGGTGAAGATTTCTTTTTGTTTTAGACAGTCGTTCTCATAGCTGTAATAATTCAGACATCAGTGATGTTGATGTATGATGATGTAGCAACAATCATGGCTGGTGAATACATTTTAGTTTGTAACAAAATAATTTCTTGCCACAAACACCATTAAATGAATGTAAAAAGGGAGCCTTTACATGAGTAATTAAATTAGTACTTTTTTACAATTTGAAAAAATGAAAATTACCTGTCACAAGAAAGATTATAAATGAAATCATCAAAAGCTGTCACTTCGCATTTGGCGGGATTCTGAATCGGTGCAGCCATTTTAAACACAACCTACTCCAAACCAGAATCAACATTGAAATGCCGAATGACCGCGAGGAGAAAGCTAGCGTTTCAAGGTTAACACCTGTGTTGCCAACTTGCTCACCAAAACTTTTCTTTTCCTCTGGCATACGGTGTATCTTTACTTTTCGAAATACCCTCGTAGTTTATCAGAATATAAATAGCAAAATCATTTTTCAAATTGTTACCAGCAAATACTATTGCCCTGTATTAACTTTAAAGAAATTAAATAATGAAAAATCTGCATGTTCATGTGTATGTTTCTCGCGTTCTGAGAAAACGATGGTATCTAGAGCCATTAAATTTGAATAACGTTGTCCTCCACCTGAACATGTGTATGTGGAAGCCTCATTTTTGAATTTTATATTTCATATTTTGAAAACTTTATAATGAATTTTCGATTAACAAACTCAACAATTTGGAAGTGAGTAGCAATGGCACTGTACAGAATAAAATATTTTTATCATGAGACCGTCTTTCAGAAATTCTAAAGATATGCTGTTTTTAAATATTTTGCGATTTTCGTATTGAATTGAAGTTTATTTGATGTAAATGCAAAGAATGTAACATTGAATTGTGAATTTTAAACGCGTTCTATGCTGCTTTTGAAATTTTCGTAATTTTGCTGTTGAACCGTATATGGCATAAGTGCAATGAAAATCATGCTTAATAATAAAGCTAGCAGGAGTAAATGCAACAGCAGACTGGTTGACTGCAAGCTCCATGACAGCATAAAAAAACTTTAACAAATCCTTTTGGGCAATTGCTAAAATCTGAATTCTCTCAGATTTTATGTATATATTTTTTTACATTTTTTCTTTTAATCAAATTTAAATCTGGAGGATATGTAGGCCACTCCATCTACCGGATTCCTTTGTCCTCAAGATAAGTAATCACTAGCACAGAGTGATGGGAATGAGTATTATAATCCACCAAGAGGAACTTATTACTAATTGCACCAAGAAGAGCTTATTACTAATGTAGGCCACTCCATCTACTGGATTTCTTCGTCCTCAAGATAAGTAATCACTAGCACAGAGTGATGAGAATGAGTATTATAATCCACCAAGAGGAACTTATTACTAATTGCACTCCTAAACAACTTGACATGAGAACCTCATCTCTGTATATTTTAACATTCATATCTACACTGATAAAATTGTGTAGGTCAGTGCAACTATTCAAAATGATGCTAACCTACACCATGAATCCACTACCTTTGTACTGATATTTTGCAGATGTTTTCAAACTTATTACACTTGTTTTGCTCTCTCCAGTTTGTAACATATCTGGAATCACTCTCCAAATAAAACCAGATTCATTTGTAAAGATAACTTGGCTCCAGTCTGTGATACTTCAATCACGATGATATCTACATCCCTGCAATTAGGCACAATGCAGCTTAAGTTAATGGGGCACATATCAGGAATTTTCTTGCATACAATACTCTTTTATGCAAACTGTTACTCATGGTATATCTAGATAGTCAAGTTTTTGCCATTCTATGGGACTTCTTAACTATTTTGACTGATGTCAGTTGTCTATTTCTTTTAACAAGTGTTGCTAAGTTGCTAAGTAATGGTCATGCAAGTCTACTGTGGCATGCATGTTTTTGATTATGATCTTGTCTGCATGCATTATCAGTGTCTTTAAACCATTCACACATTTTGATATGATTCTGTCAGTTACTTTATAAGGTATTTTCTTTCTTCTTTCACATGCCTTCATGGTGTAACTTTCACACACTTGGTGCATATTTGAGAGGTCCAAGTTCGAATCCTGGTGAGGACATTGCTCATTTTTCATGTCTCCTGTTTCAAAATAACCTAATGACTCTACAGTGGCACCCCAAACTAAAAAAAGTGGTGGATGATTATTCTTTACCCCAGGATTTGGTGATTGGGTCCCCTAAACCCCAGTTGCCCTTTAAAAGGGGGAGTATGTAAGGTATTTTCTTCCTCCTTTCTGCATGCCTTTGTGATGTAACAGTAGCACACACAGCGCATATTCGTCCTATTTTGAGTCTCTGCAAGGGCATTGCATATTTTCACGTCTTATGCATCAAACTAGCCTAATGACTCTGCAACTTTTGGTTATTTACAGACTGTCTCAGTGTCTGTCCTGCTTCCATTGTGCCAGCTGCACATCATTTCTCACAATCTGTGAAATGCCTTTTTAACACATGATCCCACCAGTAGCCAAGTAGTTAAGACTGCTGAATACTAGGAGTTGAGTTCGATCCTAGGTGAACAGATTGGCTGTATGGTTAGTTTTCATGATTTTCTGTATGTGTAACATAATTATAAGCATTAATTTATATAACATAAATAATCTAATGAGATTATTATTATTAGAAAATCCTCCATGAAGGCATTCCTTCCTTTAGGCACATAGCCCTATACATATGCCATATCTAAATAGGCTAACCTAACATTATCATCCAACTTTCACATGCAAAAATTTTATCATACAAGTGCAGTCCTTGAAATAAATATTTGAAGCATGCCCTTGTAGTCCTTTCTGCACATCCGAAAAGAGCACATGCAAAAATATATATATCTCTATGTAGTGAAGATGGGTATTATTGGACTACATGGTAACGTTGGTCTTGACCTATCAGCCACCCACCTGCCATTGGATTTCACTTAAGAGAATAAATATAAATTATTTTTTATAGTTGTTCCTTTAAATTTTCTGCTAATGTATATATGAATTGACTTATTAAGTATTTGAAGGAAATCAGTTAAAATTATTAATCTCTGTGATATTCTTTTACTTATTCAATATATTTTTTCGTATCTGTGCCTATATTTTTTGTTGTTATTGCAGAGAGTATACAAGTAAGAGAAAAAATGTGAGTAAATATGGTATTTATATTAAAATGCAAGTAACTAAATATTTTTTGTAGGTATTTGAATACGGAGCTGTGATAAGAGACTCACTTGATATTCATTATCCAGTAAATGAAATGCTCTGTAATTCAAAAATAAGGTTAGTAAATGTGTGCACGTTCTTAGGATTAATGTTTTTTGGGGGGTTGTATTAAATGCTTAAAAATAGTATATTATTGCTGTACATTTGCAGTACTAAGAAGACTTAACTAAATAGTATGTTGCTCTGTTAAAAATTAACATTAAGCTAAAAAAAGTTAATTTTTTAGATAAGAAATTGATTTGTGAAAAAAGAATGTTGATCTGTCTTCTGAAATAATTTTATTGGAAAGTGATAGTTTTAATCCATAATTTGTAAATATTTTATGGTAATTTAAAAGATACTTCTGAAGTAAATAACAACATTCATATGTTCCAAGTCATTAGATATTAAAACCTGTTTTTGTAGAACATTTTGATGGTAATTTATAGTCAAGTGTTCACATTAAAACATCATGTGTAAAACATCATACTTATGAAATGTACATATATTATGTATTTTCTAATACAAGGTCTAATAAATTTTAATTTAAAGTATAAATCTTAAAAACCAATTTTTATTACTATGATAATATTGGTTGCAGATTTTTCTTTGCCATATATATTTGAAGGTTATTTTTGTATATATTCTGAGAGAGAAATTGGTTTTCTATTGTGTGTTTCATAAATTAACAAAAAGTATTAATGTTGCCTATATCATTTGGTACTCACGTGTTGATGCAACCACCTTGGCAATTTTTTTACAGACAAAAAATGTAAAATTTACTTATCAAGTGCAGGATGGTGATTTAGTCAAATATCAGTATTTATTGTAAATGGGCAAACATTAATCAACACAGGAAAAGAAAACACACTTTAGCAGTTTAAAATACAATTTTAATTATTAAATAAGGATTATATGTTAATTAAAAATGAAACACATTTTTTGCAAATTCATTCTATAATAATTTAGAATTAAATTTTTCTCTAATTCTAAATTTTTGCTTAAAAAGGATTAGAGAATTGCATCAATTCTGCATCATGCATAACTTCGGCATGTTGCAAACTGGCTGTCTATCAAATGCTTTGCATCATTATTCTATTTAGTGATTTTTCAAACAAATAAATAAATAATAAAAAATAAATAAATAAAACTATTTGCTGTCAGAAATATTACCATGGTTTTTTTCCATTCTTCGCAAATTCCATAAACACATATTTCAAATCTGAGTTTAAGTTAAAAATATATCAATATTTGTCTATTAAAAACCATTGGAACTGGGAATGCAACAAAAAGAATGCATATGGGAACATTGCTTGACTGTAGGATTGTTATGAGTATGGTTGCTTGAAGAATGCTTATGCACATGATTGCCAGAGTTTATCATCTTTTGGGGGAAAATTTGGTAACTTCAAAGGTGGTTGCAATGATATGTAAGTACCTATCAGTCATTCTTAGGATGAATAAAATGTGACATTAATAGGTGCTATAATTGTAGTGATTGCATTTCATATGTTAACTAATTGGAGACTTTATTAAACATTGCTAATATAATTATTTTAGTATTTTAATAAATGATGTATAAGCAGAAAGTTCTAGTTTTCCACAGGATATGATGCTATGTATATATGAATGTATATATTTTGTAATAACATGGCATAATACTTTTTTACTGTTTTGTTAAGCTGTATCAGCTGGAGTTCATATCACAAAGGTATGCTTGCTAGTAGTGATTATGAAGGTACTGTTACTCTCTGGGATGCTTTCACAGGTCAAAAAGTAAAGACATATCAGGTAAAGTTAGATAAATGTGTGCTATCTATTAAATTCTTTAACTAAAATTTTAAAACTTTTTGCTATTTGTAAGAATTTTCTTAATACACTGCTTATACCATAATATTCTTATTAATTTCTTAATACACTGATTACAAAGGATTGATCTCAGATTGCAAGGTAGTATAAAATTAAGTGGAGGTGGGGGCCACCTATATGGTATAGTGGTTAGGGTAGTCTGATTGTGATACCAAAGGACCCAGGTTCGAATCCCGTAGAAGGCGTAGATGTGAAATTGTCTGTCCCTTCATAGGAAGGTAATGGTGGCTGCCTATTAGGTGCCTTCACAATAAAATGCTCAGCACTTCTGCCCTTAGTAGTGGCCAATGCTGTTATAGGCAAGTGTCCACCATTAAGGGTAGGGGGAGAAAGGTGGAGTTTGAGGCTAAGTAGAATAAAATAGTGTTGCTACACTATTCAGACATTAGAATAAAGGACATCTATGTTCAAGAAAATACAGAAGGCTTTAAAATATCCAAAAGTAAAAAAAAAAATGTTCTTTTGATGCTGTGCCTAGAAAAATGGAAAAATGCACATAAACGACAGCATGTGATGCAGCTTTTCACACATCACACCTATTTCACACAACATTAGCAGCTTATGAAGCAATTGATCCCACTCCTCTATCATTGTCTGAATGAGAATGTTCTTGTTAGTTGGGAGGATATTTTCGATAAGCAAGTCACCTTCCCAGAGGATCCCAAACATTTTCATTATGATTTAGATCTAGAGAATGTGCTTGTCATACAAGGGATTGAATGTTCTTGCTGTCTAATGAATCCTGAGCAGCAAGTGTTCAATGTCATGGTGTGCTGTAGTCCATAAAAAGAAATTTATTGCTGAAAGTACCACAGAAAAAGCGAATATGAGGCAGCAAAACTTCATCTATCATTAGCCGGTCATAGCTGCAATTGTAACCACATGTAAGGGCATGCAACCATCAGTCGTGATGGTGGGCCATACCATAATACTGCATCTCAGATAATTGGTTCCTTTCCTGGATATTCACAACAACAATGTCTGGACAATGGGACACACACAACATGTCTGTGAGTGGATAGTCCTCCTTCTCCAAAATGTCTGGCTACATGTTTTTTGGGAAATCCATTGTCCTGTGACAGCAAGAAACTCCTTCTGCATCTGCTGAGCTGTGGCGCCTTGGTTTCTTTTTGCTTATAAAGCAATGTGTCTGAATTTTTCAGCATGATACATGTAACATGATGTCCCCATGAGGCTGGCGACACATTCCAGTTGTTTTAAAGTCATTACATAGCCATGAAACAACCCTATGGACAATACTGGACTCCGTGATGTGTTATTTTTTGCCCTTCTTCAATCTTTTCAATGATATGGTCACATGTAAAATCATCTAAGTGATGTCAGAAAGACATACCGAAATTTTAATGATCGACAATTAAATCTTTATCATAAAACTTTCACTTGGTACAGCAGCTGCCTGCATGCGTTAAATGCTCTAAATTTTTTATCAGTACTATCACGTGATAAACAGGTGAGGAAATGAAAATTTGCATACGCACACCTCTTCTTACTGTATCCTGCACTTATTCATATTTTGCATATTTTATTTCTTTTTATTTTCTGGTTGCTATGGTTGATAGTGTTGTCTGTCCGTAGTAATTGTCCAGCAGTGTATTTTTTAAACTATGAAATTAAACCGAGTTTTCATGATGTTAAATATGCTGTTAATTTTATTATTATTAAAATATATATTTATATCTTTACATTAATTTCATAGATATTTCTGCTTGTATTTAGTTAAATTTTCTGGCATATGACATTAGAGTGGTAATTAGAATTGTGAAGTAAAACTTTCACAGGTCTTCCAGTTGCAGTCGTATGTTATATATTTTAGTACTGCCACTAAATTTTATATTTTTGTTACTTCAATATATTTCTGAACTATATGAATTACTTAAATCATATAATCCAGTTCCTTCTACTCTTTACCGAATAGTGTTTTTTTGGTGATGTGTTCATAGCATTTTTAATTTCTAGTTATTGTTAATACAGTCAAAAGTCTTTAATCCAGACTCGTCGGGACTTCGGCAATACTGGATTATCGGTTTTTCCGGATAATAGATCATCAATTTAAATCTGGTAAGATGGCATGCAGAAATTATAAAATTAAAAATATGAAACCGTAATTTATGAAATAAGGAGCAGATATGATCTAAAGGTTATCAAAATTTACCAAAAAAAAAAAAAAAAAAAAAAAAAACCTTAATATTTATTTGTTTACTTTATTAAACATTTCTTTGAATGCGTGCATGCGTAAAGCATACATTACGCATATTCGAAATTAGAAAATTGCAACCAGAAAATTATTTGATGTGTATTCATGATATTTATAATGACAAGGAATTTGATTTAAATCATGTCAAAGATGGAGTACATCGAGATGAAATACTACATTTATTAAGGAATTATAAGCCAAATAAAATAAAAACATCTGCCCTGAAGATAAGGTTAGTGCTGACAGATCAACTTCCAGTTTATTGCGCGCCGTGACGTTTCCCCGCAGAGCAGCATGAAATTGTTAAACAGATTTCAGAATGGTTAGAGAAACAAAGGATATGCCTTTAACCATTTTTTGCAGCAATTCCACTTTTTGTTTGATGGACATTGAAACATGCTTTCACTTTGTAGTAGACCCTTTGGCAGCTTCAGAATCGGAAATTCTTTTTGACATAATCGAAAGTTCAAGCTTACTTTTATAAAATTGCTCTAACAGTCTGCAAAAATTAATAAGCCGGATCCAATTCGAAGATTAAGGAACAACACAATCTGCAACGTTAACAGAAATAGATAATTAGATAATTTTAGCTTAGCTTATACTGTTCATTATACATTAAACGTGCATGCATAAACATATTATGGGCATGCGTATACGCATATGCGCATGCAATGCGTTTATGGATGCGCAGAAAGTTTGTAGCTTTGAGGTCCGGATTATAGATCATTCCAGATTATGGACGTCCAGATTAAAGACTAAACTGTAAGACTGTACATATTAAATTCCATTGTAGCACTTACTGGAATGGTCACTTTTTCCCACAATTAGTCAGAATTGATTGGATTTTTTTTGGTGCGATTCAGTGGCTCTTAATAACACTGCAGAAAGTTAATTTATTGAAAGAAGTGATGCCTGCTATATTTAATACCAGAATACTTGTCATTTCATGCTAACACCTGTAAAATTGATTCAGAGGTGGGTTTTTTTTTTTTTTTTTTTTGTAAAATTAGTTTACCACTTCTAAAATCATCCTTATTGTTTGCTTTAAATAAACAATTAAAATGAAAGTCTTTTGTTTCCATTAATGATCATTAATAAAATATTGTTACTAGTATGCTGATATTCCTTAGAACTTGTCACTAGGGTTACAAGAGTGGAAAGGTTGGGAAACGTGTATGAGATTATCATAAAACTGATACTTCTATGTAGCTGTGTGAAATATGATTGTAGCTATGTAGCTGTGTGGAATATGATTGATTATTATTAAATTATTTCATGATAAGTGTTTTATTTATAGGAACATGAAAAACGATGCTGGAGTGTTGATTTTAATAGAATTGATACAAAATTAATTGCATCTGGTTCAGATGATTCAAAAGGTATGTATTTTCTTGAAATTGTAAATAACTATTGTTTATCTTGATGATTTCACAACTTTTCAGTATTTCATGCTTGTTGGCCATTTGAATAAAGTAAATGAGAAAAGAAACCCAAAGAATTTGTGAGGTGCTTTTATGTGATCTCAGAATGGTTTTAAATGTTATGAAATTACCTGACTGAGGCATTACAAATATTTTTTGGTCTTGTTTTATTAATTTAACTTTAAATTTCATAGTTGTATTTGTATTTCATTGAGATTAAAGAAAGAATTTTGTAAAGTTCATATCTGAAATTAAAATGCTAGGTGCCTGTTTGTAACCTAGTACTCACCAATAAAATGCCACCTATGACTTATTCTTGCTGGCAATCAGCAATACTACTTCAAAGATGAGATTTGCATTTCTTTTTCTCATCAATATTCTCTCAGTATAATTCTAATTTATTAATTTTATTGTTTATATATATATTTTGGAGAAGGGCTGTTTTTAAAATTTCAGTGTCAACTTAGATTGAGACTGGCATCCATATGTAAACAATGTAATGGAATACATGTAGGAATCAGAAAAATGGAAGAATAAGCGGCAGCATGGTACTGCTCATCATCATTTGTCTTTTTACTTATCAGAGCTCATATGGAAGCAAGACAAACTGCCAAGAATAAAAATGCTGTTTTATGCCATTTTGAATGCAATTGCCAAGTAATCCTTCCGGAAATTTAAAAATAGATTAATACTGGCTCACATTTGTTTTCAGACACTTGTATTTTTTAAAATTTATTCACTTAGACCTTGTACTAAATACTGAAACTTAAGATTCCAATTTTTTTTGTTGTTATTATAGTATGTTTTCTTTGTTTTAAGCCTTGCTTGTTGCAGAATAAATATCGTCAAGATATTCTTTGTAATAAAATAATTTATTCAAACATTTTAATAGATAACTGACATAATTATTAATATGTAATTTGCAAAATAATTAAGATGCTTGAAACTTTTGTTGAGATGTTTTGATAGATGAATGTTTTTGGTCACAATTTTTTGTTTTAAATGAAAATACATAACAAGACTCATTATCTGCATTTGGAAATTATTACTTATTTAACCAAATTATATTAACACTTCTATATCTGATGTGAATGTGATAGGATGCTATAAACTAATGACAAGTTCTGTTAGAAATTTAATTATTCATCATTTTAAAGATAAAATTTGTAATATTAAAAAAATTCTTGATGGGAAAGCATTCATTTATTTTTGATATTTTGGAAATAGCATGGAAGTGCTGCAAATGCATATAAGTGTGGAATGCATTCCAAGCTAGTACAAAGGAGTTGGAGATTTAGCCTATGAAAAATCAAATAAAACACAAATATTATTGCTGAAAAACTTGAAGCACATTTAGAAGAACAGCTTTTAATAAAAGGTAGTCCTAAAACTGTTAGAAAAATCATTAGAGCTTATGGATACAATGGGTGATCAGAAAGAAGGAAATTCTTTGTCAACAAGAAAATAAGGAAAATATGCTTGGTATTTGCAAAATCTATAAGCAAAGATTTATCACATTAAAACTGTTATATTTGCAAACGAGTCATGGTTTAATACATTTGTGTGGTGAAAGCCAAGTTAAAAATTGAATCTGAAAAACTCACCCTAACTTACAAATTTTGTACCGTTAAGCATAGTGGTTTTGGGATGTTTTGCTGCCTCTAGAATGGGGAGTATAGTTTTTATAAAAAATAATGTAGATTAATTTAAATATATAAATATTTTTTATGAAAACTTTAAACTAAACTTGTAATTCAAAATACTTTCAAGTTTTATCAGGATAATGACCCTGGATATACAGCATTAAATGTTCACTTGTGGTTTTTATACAACTGTCTTGAAGTTGTCACAACTCTCCATATTTTCTGAACCTATGTCCTACTGAATATATATGATGTAAGTTAGAGAAAAAACAGGGAAACATGATATTCCTTAGAAAGCTGTACTAATTCCTACAGAGGAATTGTATAAATAGAACATTCTTACCTGAAAAAAAATTAGTTGAATCCATGTCAAAGTGCATAAAATGTATAATTTTAGCTAAAGGATATCCAACAAAATATTGAATGTCTTATTATTTTCATGTTTTTATTAAATGTAAGCTATTGTTGAAGTGAGTTCATTCTCAGAACTTTTTGAATAAAGTATTGTTATATCAAAAACCCAAAAAAATTTTTCTCCAAAACAAGCGAGTATGAAAGAATCACTTAAATATTTTAGATAATCTCTAAATTTTTTAACATGGTTTTTGTGTATTTTTTTCCCCCAGTTAAATTGTGGTCTACTTCATTTGATCATTCAGTCACATCTCTTGAAGCCAAAGCTAATGTTTGTTGTGTCAAGTTTAATCCAGAAAGTCGGTTTCATTTGGCTTTTGGCTCAGCAGGTAATAAGTCTTATCTTATTTTTAAGCATTGTATATAAAAATTTATAGAGAGACCATATAAAATGAAAAAAGCAGAAAGTAAAATTTTAGAAGCTATTGCTATGATAAAAAAAGTATTGATAATGATTCATTTAAACATAAAATTTCAATTTATTGATGAATATTTATTTATATCCCCTTCAAAGTAATTACTTCTCACTGCAATACTTATATCTACATTTTATCCAATCCTTGAAAAAGTTTCAAAGCCATTTGTGTAAAACACCTGCAAGATATGCAGCATATCTTCTTTTATTGCTTGAATAAACTCAAAACAGCAAGTATGAAGTGGCAGTTTTAAACATGGAAGTAAGAAAATGTCACTTAAGTAAATACAGCTCCAGAGCCTTATTTGTTCAATATTTGGCCAAAAATTTGGGAACAGGTATTTTATCATAGTGCAAAATCCACAGGTTTTCTCACCGCACTTAAGCTCATTTTTTTACAAACTGCATCACTCAAATGCTTTGAAAGGTTCAAATGATATTCTTTATTAACTCTTTAGCCAGTTATTAGGAATTCAGATTGAATATCGCTATGATAGTTAACAAAAAAAAAAAAAAAAAAAAAAAAAACAGTAAATATTACTTTAATTTTTGACTGATTCTGAAATTATCTTTTAGGATGTGAACTTTCAATCAACTCAACTGTTAAGCTGTTTTTATATTAAAAGCATAAATTGACGTTTCATCATTGGTAATAATGTATTTTAAAAAAGGAAACATCTTCTAGGTTAACTAAATACATTGCAATTTTTTTGAATAACTCGAGAAGCATGCTTGAATGATCCTTCAAAGCTGCTTGACAGAATCCAAATGGTATAGGAACTTGTTCAATAGTATTCCTGATTGTTAAATGATGACCACAAAACACTGACTCTCTGATTCGATTGTCTTTTTTAGAAGCGAGTAGAAGTCCATGGTTCAATTTCAGTACATTTTCTGCCTTCAGTAAACATCTTAACCTCTCAAAAGCTGTTTTTTTTTTTTTTTTTTTTTTTTTTTTTTTTTTTTGCAACATTTTCTATTACTTTATTTTAAGAATATAAAATCTGATACATAAAAACATGTGTGCTATTCGGTAATTTACATTAGTAAGGCTTCCCTTCAAGGTATTTTGGGTAATTAGAAAAAGCTGTCTGTAAATTCTTAAGAGTGCAGGGAGGTGGCACCTCTGATTCCCATGTCATTCAATGAATTATCTATGCCATTTCAATCTTTCAAGTATGTAGTAAAAGCTATAAAAACAGTATCTTGTTTACACATTTCACCTGTTTTATTTTGATTATAAGAAAAAGTTGAAAGGTAATAGAGAGCAATTTCATGCAGAGGATATTTCCTTTAAAATTAATTCAAGTTCTTTCCTTTTACAAAAGTAGAGCATTCTTATGAAACCTTTTGTAAACCAAAGCGGTACAAAGCAAAAATGCAATTCTCATTTATTTGCATGGGAAAAATTTTTTTTAAGTGTTCTCGGATGTTTAAATAAACCTATATAAAACATCACACCAAATATCTTTTGAAACATAAAATAACAGTGAACAAAATAATGGTATGAAGAATATAAACCGTTAGGATGTAGTTTCACCTCCTAGAATTGAAAAAATAAGCGAGTTCATCGAAACGATGGAGATTATGACATTGATGAATGTTGCATTCAGTGGTAGAAGATTCAGTTATGGGGATCCAAGGCCAATTGTATAGGATACAAGGATTAGCTGTTAATGTTTTATCATCATTTATGATCACATTATTATTGTGTGCACAGATTTAATACCTGCCTGACTAGTTTTTGCAAAAATTTGTCAAAAATTTATGATGCTCTTTCTGTTGTGAAAGACTTGAAGAAGATAATATGCTTTTCTTTCAACTATGCTTTTTTTTTTTTTTCATTCCTCCCCATAAAAGAGAGAATTATTTCTGGATTTCTTTCATTAACTAGAAAATCATATTAAATCTTTTGTTACACTCTGGAAAAGTGAAATATTGCTAAGGGAATATTTATAACACAGAAGCTACCTTGTATATATCTAAAATTTAAACACAGTTTTCTGTATAGATAATCATAAAAATAAGGACATTGTATTTTTGAAATACAAATATAAATGCATAAGAGAAATATACTGAGAATAAGTAAGAGTTTATGTAATGATGATTTTATTTATTAGTGCAGTTTACTGTTAAAAAGTAAGGTGATAATAAGTAAGGTGCAATTTGCTAAAACACAGTTTAGCTATGGTTTTTCTTTTGGGTCTGTAAGGTGCAATTTGCTAAAACACAGTTTAGCTATGGTTTTTCTTTTGGGTCTGGTGTTTCTCTGAAAATTTTTGTTAAATATCTATCTCATAATATAGTTATTTAAGATTCTGTTAGTGTAAATTACTGTCCAAAAAATTTTTGAATATTACTGCCATAGTTACAAAAAGTGTGAAAAAAATTTGATGCCAGTAAATAGTAACATTTGTATCATTTTTCTCCTTTAATTATTATAATATTTAGGTTTATATAAACTATGTTTTATATAAGATTCTCTACATTATATATAATATAAATAACTTTCTTAATCAGAACTATACCTAATCCATTTTTTTCCACTGAAAATTAATTTAGCGGAATCCAGTTTAGCCATATGCACAACGTGTTAATGACAAAACCCCTGCGTTTGTCAAGGGTTTACTGTAGTGGTAAATCAGTTTTCTGATTATATAATTCTCAACCAAATTTCATAATTTAATTCTTTTAATTTGTACTGTTTGAAGATTTTGGAACAAATTGAGCCTTTATTTATTTTTATGTGTCAGAATAATATCAGCTTTTGAAATGTAACATTTTCACAACTAAAAATCATGCAGATATATTTTGCATTTCATGCAAATAATGAAATATTTTACATGAGTAAGATGATCATATTACTTTAGCATTTGTCCATTTGGGTAATGTTTTTATTGTTTGTATACTTAAGTGTAGACAGATCTATGAATAATAATCTTCAGGAACGATATATTCAGATTCTTTAATTTTAAAAAACGATTTGAGAGCTATGAACTTAAATATTCATGCTTATTTTATCAGTTGAATCCTAATTAAAAAAGTTATTACATGTTTTTACTCAAAAATTTAGAAAAATTAGTTTTACTAACATCCATCAGAAACAATTATTAAAAAAGTAATGTGTGATTAATTTCAGTTGATCAGGATTACCAATATTGCCTCATGTGAGCAGCTTACCTTTTTATAGCAGTTTTAACCAAAGTATTATAAATGCCTCCTCTCCACATAGCTACTGTAATTACATATATCTATGCCTTACATGGGATTCAATATTCCTCATTTGATATAGTCTTCATTGACCCACATATTTATTAGTAATCCAGTTGGGTGTAAAGATTAGTCTTAAATAAGAAACTTGCTAAAATTAAAACTTAGTATATATATATATATATATTAAAATTCTGCTTATAATTTTATGAAATTGATACTTATTAAATCCTTATTATTGCTTAATATATTTATTATTATAGGAATTAAGACATAAACTCTTAATTTTATGTTTTGTGTGTGAATAGAAATATGAAAGTAATTTTCATTTTATAAAATGAGTAAGTAACAGCTTCCACCTTTCAGAACTTCCCTTTTAAAATTGTTCATGTTATTCCTAACATAAAGAAAAAAAAAATTGGTTGAAGCATGGAATCTGACTTTATAATATATGAATTGAAAAACTGTAAATTTGCTAGTATTTCATTTTAAATAGAATAATGAAAGAAGGAGAGTGAATTGTTGACCAAATATCAGTAAATGTTGTTGCAGTGTTATAAATATGTTATGTTAAAAGTCATCAGATGTGTTTTGCACTAAAATATGGTTTAGCATTATCAGACTTTTAAGATTACATTTTGGTTAGCAAAAATTTTTCATTTAATATATTATTTGTAATTTTTTCCACTTAATTTAGTGTAAATGAACCATATTTTTAAAATGTAAAGTGTAAACTTGTGCAAATTCGGTGTCCTCACAAAAGATAAAAAAAAAACTGAAAAGATTTTAGATATTTTCAGTGATTTTAGATATAGATTTCAGAAGTTAGATAGTAATGCAGATTTATGCAAATGTTTTCTTCCATCTTTCCATTTTTCTATGTTTTTATTTTATGTCATAATTGTTTTTTAACCCATATTTGTTCTACAGTGCTAAAAATTTCAAGTATCATCATTTTGCTTTTAGTCCTATTTTAACATATTGAAATAGGTATTTTCAATTTAGCTTCAATCAATTTTATGATAAAATTGTTCCTGAAATGTGATGACCTGCCTTTATAATATGCTGAAGTAAAAATTTCAAAAATTATTTCCTGTTTTAATTGTGTGTACAGATATATCTAATGTGAGTGGAAGGGTAGAACTGTTAGTCAACATAATTTTTTTTTTGTATTTAATACTTTTTTAGCAATGAAGATTTTTTGTTACTTTTTCTTAAAAAACTTTGGGATAAGATTTTTTTTTTTTAAATTACTTTTTTCTTTCAGTTCTAAAATTATTTTTTTAATTACACTTAATTTCACTGAAAACATTTTTTAAAGTTATTGAATTTGTTAGTTATGCAGGTACAGAAACCAAATGCTCAGATCGTTTTGACTAAATATTGAATAATTTATTTTACTTTTAAAATATTTTACAGTTTGGATACTTGAATAATTATATTTAATGTAATTTTTACTGAAAACATATTGCTTTAAAATTCTTATATTAGAAGAGGACAAAATTCTTGTATTAGAATATTTTACAGTTTGGATACTTGAATAATTATATTTAATGTAATTTTTACTGAAAACATATTGCTTTAAAATTCTTGTATTAGAAGAGGAAGAGTCTTAATTCATTTTATTTTCACTTCATTTTATTGAATAAATCTTAAGGAAAAGGTATCATCTTTGATAGCACATTTTCCTGACAAAATAAACTTAATATTTTTAGACCAAATTGTTACATTACCATGATTTGATAGACTAGGGCTAATAACATAAAAGCAGATTTTTGCTAAATTTTAAAATATGTTTTATCAGAATCGAGCATTATTGTCAATATTAATTAGAATTTTTTTTCATTTGTCACTTTTGAAATCCAGAGTTAAAATTCTGTCATCATTCTAAATCATTCATATTTATATGCAGTGTTGAAACAGTATTCACATCTTATATTTCAGTTGGATATCGTTAAAATTTGAATTGTATTTATTTTCATGTAAAAGATATATTTTTGACAGAAAAAGACTTTTCCTAAAGTAATGTTCTAAGTTAGTTTAGAAAAAAATCATACATTAATTCATTATACATTTAAAGTTATTATTAATAAGTACATTAATTTGAATGAAATTAAGCCTTATGTTAATAATGCAATACAACTCATTTGTGTATTACTAAAAGTGGTCATATTTCTGTATACAGTACAAAGTCCGTAATCCGGACTGGTTGGGATTTTGGCAATTCTGAATTAGTGGTTTTTCCGGATTATAGATCATCAATTTAAAAAAAAAAAAGCTTTTTAATTCTATAAACAGACATAATTTCTTGTTCAGTTAGTTCCAATGTTCAAGTCCTGTAATTGCTGTGTCGAGAATACCAATTAACTTGTCAGTCGAAATTCTTTTGTTTTCAGTAACCTCTCTGTCACTTTCTTCACTATCGGAAGCGGTTTTTCTGGATCTAGAACCATACTACGGATTTCGCCATCTATTAATTGATTGATGATTGGGGCATTGTTGTTGCAATGAAAAACTTCTGTTATATCATCTTCATTTATTACCGCTTCTCCACATTTCTTTACAAAACCAAATAAGTGGAAAATTTCACCTTTAGTATGCGATGTCCAAAAATCTTCAAATTCGCGGCTATCATCTTCATCACTGACCATGAAATATGGTAGCTGGCCATAAATTATGCCAAGCATTTTGTAGCGTATCTAGAGACACATTCTCCCACGATCTTGTGATACTCCACACAGCAGATTTTATGCTAAAAAATTTCAAAAAGTCTTGCCATTGTTCAAGAAATTTAACATAGATTTTAAAAATGCTATTTTATATTTGCATTGCAGCGTGTGCACTATTCCCATATCCATAGGCTGATGATAGACGTACAATTTGGAGGGAAGAATAATACGGATACATTAGCTTTCACTAAACTTTAAGTGAAGTATGGGCCGAACAGTTGTCAACAATCAGGACTATTTTTGAGTCATCAGGTGAAACAACCGAATTCAAATGTCGCCGAGCCTTGGGTGTAAAATGATTTTCAAACCAATCATTCATCAACGCTTGTGTCATCCATGCTCTTTTATTTGCGCAATATATAATGGAGAAAATCATTACTCCTTTAAATGCTTGAAATCGTGCAAGTTTTTTGATTACGAAAAGTTTGCACTTGTGCATTCCTGCAGCATTTGCGCACGCTGAAATTGTTAGTCTCGCTTTGGAATCTTTGACATCAGTTGTAGCTTTTTCTGTAGAGGTTGCTAAGGTATTTTATGGTACATATTGCCAGAAAAGACCAGTTTCATCAGCCACAAATTTTATTTAAGCATACAAAATAAAGTTTGTGGCTTTGAGGTCCAAATTATAGATCATTCTGGATAATGGGCATCTGGATTATGGACTTTATACTGTATTGATAATGTTGCACACATAATAGAGAGCAGTTGTAAATTTGTTCTGAAGATAATTGCTCACTAGTAATGAGTTCAATGAATTCTTCTGCAAATTGTTCAGCAGCTTCAGTATCAGCTGAAGCTTTTTCATCTGAAATTTTTAGTTGTCTTATACCATGGTGATTTTTAAATTTGGTTAACCAACCTGTCGAATATGTGCACTCAGTGTTCAAGTTCATTTGTTCATGAAATATTTTGGCTTGAGCCGTTAGCATTGGACCCGTCATTGGCACGCCCTCGCTGCGACGCTGTCTGATCCATTCAATCATCACTTTTAGCATAATGAACCCTTTTTCCGTTATTCATTGGAAGTGGAGTGTCGGAATCCACAAAAAATTCAAAAATATCCTTTTTCTTTTTGCTTATGTCATATACAGTTGACTTTCCAATGTCATACTCCTCGCATAATTTTGAGACGGATATGCCTTTATCCATTTTTTGTTTGATGGACATTGAAACATGTTTTTGCTTTGTAGATCCTTTGGCAGCTCCAGAATTGGAAACTTTTTTTTGACATAATCGAAAGTTCAAGCTTAATTTTTTATAAAATTGCTCTAACAGTCTGCAAAAAATAATAAGCCGGATCCAATTAGAAGATTAAGGAACAGCGCAATCTGCAACATTAACTGAAATGACTTAGAATCAGTAAAGATAACTTTAGCCAACTTATACCATTCGTTATACATTAAACGTGCATGTGTAAACGTATTACGCGCATGCGTAAAGCATACAAAATAAAGTTTGTGGCTTTGAGGTCCAAATTATAGATCATTCCGTATAATGGACGTCTGGAATATGGACTTTATACTGTATTGATAATGTTGCACACATAATAGAGAGCAGTTTATTCTGAGTTGTAGTAAAATATTATGTAAGTCGCATCATTCATTACCCAAAAATATATTTGTTAAATTATTTATCCATAATTAAAAAGGTACTTTAAAAGTTAAAATGTACTTCCAGTATGTCTTATGGTATAGTAAGAATTCTGAAGAACGTAGTGTTTAATTGCTTAAAAAATAATTCAGTTAAAAAGCCTGTAACTTGTTCTTCTATTATGACTTTTCCTTGGACATTTTACAAAAGTAAAAGTTTTGTTCTGCTTTTGCAACGACTGATTATAAGAATATAAAATGTGAATGGCATTTGTTTTTCTGTTTCTGCATGCTTAAGTGGAGGATAAACATGGAGGAAAACTTGGTATTTATCCGATTTTAGATTCTTTCATTGTAGTATAGTGCTATGTTATGTATAGCATATTTTAATATAAATATTTTTGTTTACATTAAAAGTGATATTGTTTTAGTTTTATTATAAAACAGTAGGATTAAATATATCATATTTAGATTGTCATCTCATCTTGATATAGTTTAATTTTGAACAGTAGATTAGAATGCGGTGTCAATTAATTTATTCTTTTGCCAGGTTTATTAACTTTAAACCCTCTAAATTAGCTTTTAGTGGCTGTTTATGAGTGGATTTAAAAGTTTGGCAATTCAGGTGCTAAAAAGTAAAAGCCAGTTTTATATAGTATATGTATATAATATTGAATCAATAACACAGTATTTTGAGGAAATATTCGTTATCTATCTTTTGAAAATAAAAATTTCATAAATTAAGACCCAGAAATAAATGAAATTATATGTCTCTGTAGCTGTTAATGCATGTAATATACATTCTCCACAACTGCTGTTACCTTCTGTTCTTAAATTTGAAATTCTTTGCTCTTTTAGTGTTCATTAAAATAAAATGATTTATTTTAGTGATCTCTTACGATAGCAAAGTGAATCACCAGAGTAGACTCCATAATATCAGAATTTAGCAACAACAATATCATAAATTAAGTTGAAGATCAATAGACTTCTTAGTATTGGTATTTTCCATTTTTTCTACTTTTAAGTGATAGGTCACTAGACTAGTTTGTTTGCAGAAGTGGCATATATTATAGAATACATAAGAAAGAGCAGCTGTTTGAGAAAATGTTTATCAATATTAAGTGCATGCTATTTAGAAGTATTTAAAATAAACAATTATTTTTACCTTTTGGTTTATTTATTTTCTATTTCTTAAATAGGTTATATATATTTGTTTGATTTCTTATGAAAACTATGCAGTTTTATTAATAGTGCTCACAAATAATTTCTTTTCTGATACTAAATATGAGTTTTAAGACAGATATTTTATTCTTTTGTCAGTATCTGTTTAAAAAATATTTAGCTCTGATTATTTATATTTATACTAATGAATGTTCCATACTTATTTCATAAAATGAAGGAAGAAATTATAAACAGAATTATTTTTATTCTTTTCTTGTTTTCTTGTCATTTTTCTTTTGATAAATAATAATAGATGCACATGGAATTAAACAAAAGTTCAGTTAATATTTTCTTTCATTGATTATAGCATGCTGCTTGTGATTAGATATAGGTATTTTTTTAATAAATAATTTGCTTGTATGTAATTACAAGCAGCATGCTATAATTAGTGGAAGAGAATATTAATTGGACTTTTGTTTAATTCCATATACATCTGTTGTTATTTTTAAGAATAAAAAGCAGGCATTATTGAAACACAAAAAGAATAAAAATAATTATGTTTGTAATAAATCAATTTTCTTTCTAACCTCTTAATAAGAGAATTCCTGAAAGTAATCATTAACTTTTGTAGATGATGAAACATGTCTATTGATTCAAAATTGTGCAAGAATTATATCTGAGTTGCTAAAAACTGTTAACGTAAAACATATCACTATACAGTTGACTGTTTATTACTCAGTATTTTATACTGCACTAATTGGTTAAAGTTTCGCAGTTTTGTAGGTTCCAGGAATTAAATTAGTATAAATAACTTATTACAGTGTAGCAAAATACCAGTAAAATGAATACTAATCATTATTATAAGTAATTAATTAGAAACAAACTGTGAATCAACTATACAACAATTAAGTAATTTACTCATTTGGATGAGAAATCTGCATAAATACAGAACAGTAAATATTATGTTTGCTTTGTTAGGACTGAATTAGTATGGCATTTTATCCATGATCTTTGAAGAAATTTAAACCAAGATTTGAAATAAGTTATCAAGTAAGCCAGATATTAATGGTGTTATTAACATGGTCTTCCCATTAGCACTATTGACTGTTATAGCGATTTTTCAGTAGTCAAACAATAGTATATCAGTGTTTTATGTTATTTATGATAATAATATTGTTGTTTCATACATAAATTTGAATATTTTTTAATGCTGACTTTATTAACTAAAGAATGCAAAGCTAGTAAATTAAATTCAGAAAATTAATAATTAAAAAGAAGGGGAAGGAAATTACGGATCTGTAATAAAGTTGCAGATCATTATATGGTTGATAATCCCGATATCAATGTATTTAATTTTCTTTCTTTTTTTAGCCCAAAGGGTGTTAGCCCAGAAGGGCTATTAATTTCATTTTGCATTTTATAAAAACTTTAAAATATGGCTGTATCAATTTTCAAATTGTTGCCACCAAATATTATCACCCTGTATTATATTTAAAGAAATTAAATAATGAAGAATCTACATAAATTTATGTATGTTTCTCGCATTGAGATAAAACAAGGGTACTGAAAGCCATCAAATTTTGAATAATGTAATCCTCCACCTGTATATGGGAATTCGGAAGCCCAAATTTGGAGTATGTTTTATTGTCTGTTTAATATTCTGTAAATCTTTAACAAATTTGAACTTGATGATTTCAAAGCGAGTAATGGCAACACCGTCGGGGGGGGGGGACATTTTCATCTCTAGCGTGCAAGACTGTGTATCGGAAATTTTAAAGATATGCTCTTTTAAAATTATTTTGTGATACTGCAATTGAATTGAATTGAATTTTATGGTTTAAGTGTGAAGAACATGCTATTTAATAAATAAAGGTAACACACGAAATGTTAAAATATTCCCTTTGGGCATAATATAAAAATCTGAATGCTTGAGTTTTTATATATTTATTTATTTTTAATTTTTCTTTTCATTTTAATGCCATTGACTGAAACTGTGGAAATGTTAAATACAGAATTCAATACATAGAGAGAGAGTGAAATCCATTCTAGACTAAGAGAATATTAAATGGAGTGTTGATAAAATAATGCCAAAATGTGCTAGAATTTCAAAAAATCATATTTTGAATGTTTTAACAAATTTTTACTCTAGTCAAGAACTGTAATTTTGGATTATTCTAAAAGAGCCAGCCAGGCAAAATTTTTGATATTGCCTGGATATGACTACATACCAAATTTAACTATTTACATTTGGATTGACTGAAATTCCTCTCCATATATTCATTAACAGTGGATAACAAATGGCAGCTTGTCATCATAACAGGTGCTCTGTACTTACCGTTTACAAAAATAATATTTAATACAAATATTGGAAAGATCCTGGATTAATAAATAAAACAGCTGCCATTTGTAATAAATAAATAATTTCATATATTCCTTATTGTAGCTGCAAACTCTCCCAGTCTCCTGAAGAATCTCTTGATTTTTAATTTTTAGCTTTTACCAAGAAAAACATTTTCCAGCATAAATTAAATTTTTTGAATTAATGAAATTTTAATTGTGTTAATCTCATTCTTCCACCTTCAAGTTTTCAGCATAATTTTTTTCTTACTATATTTTGTTTTATCTGAATTTTTTTTAAATTTTAATTGTGTTAATCTCATTCTTCCACCTTCAAGTTTTCAGCATAATTTTTTTCTTACTATATTTTGTTTTATCTGAATTTTTTCAATCTACTGTTTATATTTGTAGACCTTTTTGTGAAGATTTAACCAATTAATATTTATAATTTGCTTTATTATTATGGTATTTATTTGTATTATTATTATTATGTACATTAGTAAGTTTAGCCATGCAGTACTATGTACATTAGTTACATATTCAAAAGCTTTCCTTCCCTATTCAGGACTTCCTCATATAAAAGTATAAGAAAATTGCAAATGAAATTAGCCAAAGAACCTAAAATTTAGAATATCTAATTAAATATTACTACATTTTACATCAGAATCACATCATAAATAACTTGAATCATGCATTATAAAAGGAAAAGTCAATTTCGAGTTCTTTTGAAAAGTGTGACTGCTCAGTGTGAAAACTCTTATTTTTTTATATTTAAGGTTAGCAGCTAAGTCTTATTCAAATTAAAAGACTTTTGATGGAAAATTGTTTTAATCTGTTAAATGTTTAAATAAATACCTATGACTAGGATCAAGCTAATGTGAAAACACTGGGAAATCTACATCCACCAAGAGTTATATTCTGTAAATCTGATTTAACAGGAAGGTTTGTCACTAGTAATAATTTAAAAACGATTAATAGATGAAAGCAAAGCACAAATATATCACTAAATTTTATGTTACAGTGATCAGGACTGACTACTATGTTTTTATGGTATGGGGGTACTTATATTTTATCAAGCTGAAGGTCTTTCTGAGAGCTTGGCAGAAAGCAATGAGATCCATGAGTTCTATCTCACAAAGTTCCTTCAATTAGAATTGGGTTAAAGCAGAGAGTTTTTGTATACTTTGTTCTAAATTAAATAATTTAGTCCATAACAAATATTATCCAAAATGAACAGAAGAGTGAATTATTTACTTATTTTTGTTCTCAGTTTTGGTTTGCCATAATTATAGGCAATTAGTGAGAAAGACTTCACTTCAAACTGTTTCAATTAATTTTTTAAATTCTTGAATTTAACTTGGCATAGAAAAGTGACCTATAAGTCAATTAATTTTTGAATATCTCTGTAAATTCTCATATGAAGTTTTGAAACTTTTGGTTTTAAACTAACCAAAGGATATTAATGCATTACTAACTGGAGTATTTACTTTGTTGGGGATATATAAAAAATTAGATTTCACAAAACTCTCTTCACCCACAATAACTTCATAAAACCTTTCACAGCTTAGAAAAAATTCTGCAATTTGCTTTAAGATATATCTTGTAACTCAAATTAAGCAATATCTCACCATAGTCTGGTTTTTGTTTTTGATCAATCAGGATTCACTCTAGTCCAGTTTGAAAATTTTAAAATAAACTAAATTTGAGAAAAATAAAATAAATTAAAAAAATAGCTCTATTTTTATTACATAAAGATTGGGTCCCACTTCCCTTATTTAAGTCTTTTTGTGCAGTTTTAAAGTTGCATGATATAAATTTCAGTTTTTTAAGTTCCTCGTTGTATGAGTGCGTACTTATACTCAGACTGTTTGTTCTTTAGCTCTGACTTATTCATTCTTTTTTGCAAACTGTGAAAGCTACAACATGAAAAAAATGCACTTACTTTAATGGAATTTTGGAAGTGCTATGACATTATCAAAAATACAGGTAAAGCATGCCGTGAATTAACAGCAACGAATATAAAGGCACTGCAGAAACATATCATACCATATTGTGTAAAAATGAGTTCATTGGTTTTAGAATTCATTTTACTGACATCATTAATAGCATAGTGGAAACTGAACAACTTGGTATCAGTGACTTAGATTCTATTAGCTTAACTGAGTGCATCAAATTGAACAGATGGCACTTATTAATATAGATGAAACATACACTAATATAGATGAACAATGGACTTATATGAAGAATGAAAGGACAGCTTAGATAATGAAGACTGTGTGCTCGAGAATTGGCAATTTAACTGCTGTAAAAGATTACTGGATTAGTTGAAAGCTTGTCAGAGCATATTATGAAAGTTGATTCTAGTACTGAATGCAGCCTTTCAGCTTGCAGAATGATAAGCAATGCAGTTCATTACTGCAGAGAAATATATGAAGAGAAAAGGCCAAATAAGAAAAATATGCAATCATTGATACTGGCAATTTTTAGAAAATTTAAATTAATAAAAAAATACATGTTAAAAATTATTTCTAATAGACATTTGAATATTCTAATCACATTGGGAATAAAGGGAGAAATTTTATTTTCAGCCAGTTATCATTTTTTATATGTATTTAATTTTTTGTCTGGTTTCAAACGGTCCTAAATATTGCCAAAACCAGTTAACTAGACTATGTGAGGTATTGTTCCAATCCAGGATGAATATTAGAGGAAATGAAATCTGAAGCTATCTTTTAAAGACATCACACACATGTATAGATCATTAAAATTATAAATTCCTGCTGTCTCATGCATCATCTTCCTGTATTATTTTTGTGAGAAAAGTTTCATCTTGTATAACTATTTTTCTCTTAATTTAATTTTATATAAAACATAACATGCTTCTTTTTATATATATATTTATTTATTTCAGATCACTGTGTCCATTATTATGACTTAAGAAATCCTAAACAACCTTTGGAAGTATTTAGAGGACACAAAAAGGCTGTGTCTTACGTAAAGTTTCTAAATAGCTGTGAAGTTGTCTCTGCGTAAGTTAAAATCATTTATTCATTTTAAACTACATTTTTCTTTTAACTGTACAGCTAACTGAGAAATATTTATTACACAGTAAAAATATTTTTACTTAAAAATATTTATTACATAGCAAAATATTTTTATTTAGTTTTAATCCTCTTAAATTTATAACTGGTTTCTTTACAACAATCAGACAACTAATACTTACAATCCAAAATTTTTCCTAAATGGCCACTTCTTATCCCAAATATCTTGGTTTTGTCCTTGACTCTGAAATCATGTGTACTAAGTACATTGATCTACTAGCATCTAGGGCTAGAAAGAGACTGAATATTTTGAAATTTATTTCTGGCTGCAACTGGGATGCTAAGACCATAAGGGCAACTTATATCTGCCTTATAAGACCGATTCTTGAATATGGTTTTCAAATGTATCATATTGCCTTGGATACAAATCTCCCAGAACTGGAAAGGGTACAGTTCAGTGCAGCATGCCTACTTCAACTTTTTTGAGTGGTTAATAAAAAAATCAAAGATTAAAAAGAAATAGTCCCCTCAGTCATGCTAAGAAATTATATGTATTACAGTCTTCTGTTGACATTTAATTCTTTAAAACCTATCGCATACCCTATGGACTCATTGTCTGGTGTGTTTTTTCATATAGAGTTATTAACTAATACTAACAAGTCCTCTTAACATCTTGAATACTTAAGACAGGCTGCTCTGGAAGTGGTTAATAGAATACATGTTGAGGCAGCTCTGATATATACAGATGGTAGTAAGAATGCACATGGACACTCTGGTAGCGGGGCTTTTATTAAATTTGGACTGGGGGAAATATCTCTCAAGTGCCAAAAAAAACAGTTTCTGTTCTGTTTTTGGTTCTGAATTGGCTTTGGGTTATGTTTTAGAGTGACATTTATCCAGAGAAGCCTGGTCCTTATGGGCAATCAAAGTGTAATTCAATACCTAGATAACTGGAGAAATATTAGAGACATGAGAGGAATTAAAGTTGCTGAAAAACTCAAGACCTTGTCCCATTCTTCTGTCTGCCATATACATTGGATACCATCTCATGTAAATCTAAAATATAATAATACAGCTGATAGACTAGAAGGATAATTCCATGCTTCAGGTTTATGTTGAACTTTTGACCTACCTTGAACTATACTTTACAAGAGAGCCTTTAATTAACAATTCCTGAAGACTGCTACCGACACACTCATGGTATCACAGTATAGCTCCTGGTACTGCTATTGGTTTCAAGGATGACAGGAAGGACCAAACGGCTCTGGCTCGTTTGACTTCAAGTCATTTAAATAGATTCTTGTGGTATTAAAACCTTTCCCACTTAAGCCATATGTAAAAACAATGAAGCTACTGCACAACATCTAAGTTGTATTGCCTTAGTGTGCGAGATCTGCTGAAGAGACCTAATTTCGTATTGGAAGTTATGAAAGCAAATGAACTTATGGATCTGATTCAGATCAGAGAGATTATTAAGAAGAAATTTTTATTTCCCAATTATAAAATATGCCAATTTGATTAGTTGGCAATATTATTTTGTAAATTAAAAGTCTTACTTTTGTTTCACATATAGGTCAACTGATAGCCAGTTGAAACTTTGGAATGTAAACCAGTCTCATTGTCTAAGATCTTTCAAGGGGCATCTCAACGAAAAAAATTTTGTCGGTCTTGCAACTGATGGAGATTTTATTGCATGTGGTAAGTAAATGCTTCAGTTTGATAACTTTGCTTTCTCATTAATTTATGAATAATGTTTAATGAAATCTGCATAAATAATAAATTTTCTTAAAGAAAGTTGAATTTATTTGTTGAGGTGCTGTTTATTCTGTTAAAGTATTTTATTAACATTCATTTTATTAAAAAATATTTTTAAAAATTCCAAAATTACTTTGTAAAACTTCAAGCAACTTTTCCTTTTGGTTGAGTTTTGCTGTGTTCAGAATTGCTCTCTTTTATTACAAAATTTCACATTCTTAAATTTATTTAAATAGCATTAAATTACATTAAAATCCCCCCCCCCAAGATTAAACCCTAAGCTCAGAGCAGTTAGTAGTGATAAACACATCTTTTATCCAGTATTTTTTTTATTTTATTTAAAAGGTCTTTCATTGAAATGCTTTGCCTGTTGCCTTACATTCATTTACTGTGACTAGAAAAATTGGCCAGTTATTTTCAAATTTTATTTATCAAGTGGATTTATGTTGAAAAGACACAGAAGTGAATCCATCAGTATGTATATTTTGTACACCAGAAGTATCTGCTAGAAAGCTACAGAAGTTATCTTTCTTATTAGATTATTCAACAAAATACTTTTTCGGTAGCAGTCAAAGATATGTAATACCTGTTTATAAATACTTCCTTCTTTAGATGTCCTATCTTTTTGAATGATGTAAATCATTCTCAGAGTTTTTGAAAATGAGTCCCCTCGCCATCATAAAATAATTCAAGCCATTTAAAACTGGAGGTGATGGGTAATTTAGCCTGTCAGTGGCTCGCAGAACTCCGATTCTTTACCTCGGACTATGCCCGGTGATTGAATGGTCACATTGTATGTGTAGCATAAATAGAAACTGATTTCGTTTAGAAAATCTATCCATGCATCCCATCCCCTCTGAGGTAGATAATTTTTTAAATGCTTTGCCATCAGAAATTAGCAACTAATTTTAATTAACAAACTTCCGTACTATTATTACATGGTAATTGTAAATATGTGGCAGTGACATTCTAATTTTATGCTTAAGTATATATTGCCTTAAGTGATCTTTTTTCTAATTTAATTTAACTACTTTTCCAGGCAGTGAAAACAATGCATTGTACATTTACTACAAAGGTCTTTCTACTCAAGTTTTAACATTCCGATTCGACACCGTAAAGAGTATATTGGTATGCTTTATGTGCTGTTCCTATTCAATGGCAATAAATTTCCTAATTTTTTATATAAACTGTACTTTCATGCTAAACTAGATTATTCTGTAAAATGATTTTAAATGTTTTCTTTATTAACATATAAATTTTTAATGTCATATATACTGATTATTAAAGGTGTATTGTGCTGTATAATGTCTCAGTTCAGGTTTATGAGTGAAATACAATGCAGATCTTTAATTCGGAGTATCCTGTTATAAATTATCAGTGCAATATCAAGTACTATTGCAGACTGATATATGTGCTTGCTTTAACCCATTAACCGCCAAAACTACAAGGAATGTTTCTTTTCTCATGAAAATAATAACAAATATTAAATTAACCATTTATAACATAAATTTACATTGAAAATTAAAAAAAAATGCTCTTACCTGTGGAAAAAAACGAGTGTTGTGTTCACGCAACGTCAGCGGAATAAGACTATGGATGTTTAGTGAGTAGGATTGTACTCGTGTGATGTTTCTTTTGAGTGGAGCACAGGATTACTTTTTAGCTGTATAACATTTTATAAATCTACAAATAACTTTACTTGTAATTAATTTAATATTAAAATATGTATTGTATTTCTTTGACAAATACAGATTATTTCATTTGAAAGATTCAAGCATGAAAAGCTTGATTACAATCATGATGTAAAGCTACATTACATACTTTGCATCTATAAACAGTCTGGCTATGGTACTCTTTACAACAAAGTCTTTTGTTATCAACGGACTTTATGAAAAAATGTCTACCATCTCCATGCAATGGTTTTTGAGTGCTGAATTTACTAGGTCTTCCTGTTTCTGATCTATTTCTGGCTAATTCTACACTCTCAATACGAGTTTGCAAAAGGAATAATGCATTCTCGCGTCTGGAATCTAAAAGAGACTTTATATTTTCAGTAGTAAAAAGTGGTGATATTTAGTAAATTTAGATACGGTCTCACCTCATATAATTTATCAGTATTGTCAACTTGGCTATTGTCAAATGCAAATTCTGCTTCATATTCCTGTACTACAAACATGATATCAATTCTCGTACAACAAGAACAGAAATGTCCTTATCAAAAGACCAATACATTTTTTCTTGAGGTAAAGAATATCCTGTAAGCAATAATATTACAATAAATCTTCTCATATAGGCTTCAGATGCAATAAATTCTGGGCTTTTTTTTTTTTTTTTTCCTGAGCGTATATATTTGTCTGTTCAACTAGAAGGGAATAAATGTCTAAACCAAAAAGAAAATCGAAAATCTGTGCACTAGTTTTACATTGTGTTTTGTCTTTTATAATTTCTCTTCTATCTCTTTCTTCATGTTCTTCCTGAGACATAACTAACAGTTCTTTTTTATCCACTTCAAGATTTCAGTCTTCTGCTTTTTAAACTTTTTAGTATGACTATAACAGCTTTTAGAAAGCTGAAACTTACTTCTTACGTGAATTTCAACTTTCCCAGAAGTATCATTTGGTAAAATATCATTATTTAAAACATTGCCATTCCTTTCTTCTTTGTCTCTAGCCTCTGCAATTTCTGGGGGAACAACAACAATATCAGTTTTCTTCTGGTCATATAACATTATCATCATCTGTTTCTTCATCAAAAAATCTTTGAAGGGCTTCTTCTAATGTAAGATGCCTTGTTCAACGCATTTTAGCATGAACCAGAACATCGAAAGGAATGAGTGAAAAAGGAGATTGACTACCTGTTTTCCCTTCCTTTCCAACACAAATATAATCATCTGACTGATGTAATGTTCTGATAAACAGTGAACTTGACTAAAAATAGATCACTCATAAAGATGGCAATTCTTTCGTTAAATATTTTCAGCAAAAATACAAGGTCGAAAATTTTGCTTAAAGTATGAGATTAATTATTATAAACAAAATGATTGTTGAAGGCAAATATTTTTTTTACAGAAATAATCTTCATAATATTCCCTACACAAAATCATCTGCTGGTATTAAATATCTTAGGTAGTTATATTTATATACGCATTTATTTTGACCGTTGCGTTAATGCAACACCAGCGGCTAATGGGTTAAGTATAATTGAATATTAAGGTCAGATAGCTGGAGGGAAAAAAAAATTCCATTTGCTTTATGTGCAGGTTTAGTAGGCAAATAATAATAATTGTATGTAATTGAATTATTTAGAGGCTATTAAAATTATCAACTAAATAAAACAAAGTATTTAGTTTTGTACTTTTTGTTTATCTATATAAACCAGTCAACTAAAATTTTTAGTTGTGACTCCATCAACATAGTTTGTTATTTTTTTTTATCAGACATCAGATTTGAATCCATCAACATAGTTTGTTATTTTTATCAGATATTTGGTTTATAGAATATCCCAAATAAGTTAGAGCAATGAATTTGAAATTTCTGTGTAAATTCAGTTTTGTAATGTTATAGGCAATACTGTAATAAGTGATATGACAATTTGATACCTTAATGTAATCATTATTATGTATAAATTGAAATGTTATAGAATTGTGGTAATTATATTCAAATAAGGCTAAATAAGTAATTGGGCGGGGAACGAACAGTCTATCTCTTTAAAAGTTATACAGCCAAATTTATAATTTTCTGAACAGATTAAATTTCTTGTTCAAAATTAACAAAAATGTAGGTATGAAGCAAATACCAAATTTTCTGTAGTCAAAACAGTTGTCGGATCTAAAATATTTCAGGAAATTTTTTTTTTTTTTTTTTTTTTTTTTTTTTTTTTTAGTTTAGTTCACAGCAAAATCTGATATCTGCATTTAATATAAATCAAATTTAAGAATGAAATTATTAAAAATACATCAACATTTATTTATCAATAAATTCCAAATGAAATACATAAATAATCTCCAATCTTGAATTTCATTTTTTTAATACATTATTGATAAAAAATATTTGAGCAACATATTTTTTTTACGGAATCTTTTTACATCAAAAGAAAGGTAGAGGGTAGAAGATTATTTCAAGGGATAAACTGAAAAGAAAGCATAACAAAACACGGGAAGCTAAGTTCTCTGCTGGGAATTTAATGTTGCTCTCAGAGCCACTACAAACTGATATTAGAGATCCAGTTGATTATTCATTAATATTTTTAATGAATGCTTGCTTCTATTGGATGCCAGTAAAATCAATCTTTCTAAAACTTTGAGTTAAAATTTTACCGGAGTTAGGATTTGAAAGATTAAAGAAAGCAGGAAAATTCATTTTTGAATTCTTGAACAGTTTTAAGGATTCCTGGAGGTTTGGGAATTCAAATGTCTCACCTATATTAAATTGGTCACATGAATTGTACAAAAATATTTATATATTTAATACATGAGTTTTTGAAGCTAAAAAATAAAAAAATAAAAAAAATAAAAAAGAAGTTTTTCAATGTATTTCATATTTGGAGTATTCCTTGCTGGTATATGAATTGCATTTTTGATTTTTTGTAGGAAAAAGAGAAAAAAGAAGACGACTCAAATGAATTTGTTAGTGCTGTGTGTTGGCGAATGGTATAAAAATCTTTAATCTAAATATTGTTTTTTTAAAAATTAGTTGTGCCTTCATTTATAAATGATTGCTAAGGTATTTAATACATACTTGTATGCTAAGTAAATGTATATTAAAATAAATTGTGTTTAAACAAAACAGAAAAAATTTCAGGAATTAAAATTTTAGCTCATACCAGTAAGTATTTTACACTGAATATACACTGCTGGCTGTTAAAGTTGCAACACCAGGAAGGAATGATCTGACAAATGTCAAATTGCATGAAAGAAAGAAGAGGTTGGGGATGACACAGGATGCAGAAATGACATCTGAAGATCTGCATAAAAGAAAAGTTGTGTAGTGGATTTGTCATTTGGAAAGCGCTTTGTAAGGTTGGAGTCTGCTCAGAATATCATGTTATGTCTTGAATAATACGAAATGCTTACCAGCAAGTGTTGGAATACGATAGAGACAGGATCATTGCCTATCAAGAGTGTGGGTTATTGTTCCGTGATATCATCCATCACACTGGTCAACATCCAACCGTTGTTCATGCGAATATGGAATCAATGGGTTGTTGAGGGTCATCATGCAGAATCTCAATGCCCTCCTAAGACTGATGTTTGAGAGGACAGACATATTGTGAGGTCAGCTCTGAAAAACTGTACAACCACATCACTGACCATTAGTCAGGAAATGAGTATGTTTGTAGTATGCCTAGTATCCACTTGTATGTTGCGTCAGCGTTCGCAGCCGCGTGTACTATTAACATAACGACCATTACTTCGGCTTTCCTTGACAATGCAGCATAGAGAGACAACAACTCTAGTACGCCAAATGATAAAGCTGGATGCAGGAGTGGCACAACGTTGTGTTTTCAGATGAGTATTGGTTTTTTGTGTAGTATTCTGACAGCTGTGTATTTGTGGGGGAGGCTCCGAGGAGACTGCACGTCGGCTGCTTGTATTCAGTATCACTATGGGGGCCCTGCACCTGCTGTGATGGTTTGGGCAGCCATTGGGTGCATGATACGCTCATATCTAGTTCGAATTGAAGATAATTTGAATGCAGATTGGTACATTTCTGACATCTTATGTCCAGTGGATGTGCCCTATCTTCGAGGCCTGCCAAATGCCATCTTCCATCAAGATAATGCAAGACTACATGTTGCACATTGTGTTTTGACCTTCCTTCATACACAAGGTATTTGATTACTGCCCTGGCCTGCAGTGTCTCTAGATTTGGCACCCATTGAAAACATTTGGTCATGGGTTTGCTGAGAGACTGACCCGCCACCCTTCTCCAGCATATACAGTTGATGAAGTGTGGCATAGACGTTGAAGCAGCATGGGATGAGTTGCCCGTTTCTGTCATCCAAGTTCAGTTCGACTCCACGTGTAACCAGGTAAAGACCATTTTAGAAGCCAAGGGTGTCAGCTGTTTCTACTAATTTTGCACCCCTGTAAACTCCCAAACTACTTACAAATTTAATCATTTAATCTTCATGCCATACTGTTTATGTATGGTAAAAATCTTTTTTGTGTTTTCTTTTCTTCATGTAATTTTAATGGCCAGCAGTGTAATATTTAAGATTTCCCTACTCACAAATAAAATATGTTCAGTTTGCAGAGAATAATTTATTCTTTTGTTAGCTTTTGACCAATAGCAAGTAGCGTTTTGATAATTGTTATAATTTTTTGCATGTTGCAATTTATTACTGCATTAAAAAATAAGAGCTTTGGAATTTAAATATTGGAAAATACATAGATTTAAAAACCTTTGTACCTGTGTATGAAAAATAGATGGGTAATTATTTTGTATTAACTTTTAACTAAAAAATGTAGGAGCAAACTGGAAGAAAATTAAACAAAAAATAAATACAAGATAATCACAAGTGAAATATAATGGAACGAAAAATTATATTACTAATGCAAACTGATTTTTGCTACATGAATCGTTTATTAAATGCAAGTAGTTTTCAAAGATATTAAAGGGAAAAAATGCACAAATGCTTTCAGGTAATTGCATTAACTTCATAACTGTTCTTGAAACACACTCATATAACAAAAATAGCTATTAAGATGTGACTTACATTATCAATAAAAGAAAAGTATTGATATTTTATACATTTAAGAATAATTTATTGAAATTTGAGAAGTGGTACAAAATGTTTCAGACATTGCAGAATTATTTTCATTTAAATAACTGCCAATAATAAAATTGTATTTAATGTCATGAAATTCATATATATATTCCAATAATTTGGAATTCTGAAACATATTATGATATTTTCAATGAAAAAGAATGAAGTGTATTAAACCTTTTACATAAAATACTTTCTTAGAGTTGCAGAATAATGTACATTTATAGCAGAAAATACATAGTGAAGAAAACAGAACATTTCAGGAATGCAAAGTGTTTTGATATAAAATTAACAGACTATTAATACTACACCAAAAAAAGGAAGAGGGAAAAAAAAAAAAAAAAAAAGGTTGTTTTGGAAATAAAACATGTTATCTACAATAGCTTATAGAGAGAACACTGTATTCACCAGTGTTTATGAAAAGTGGTTTAAATGGTTAAGTATTTGACATTGATGAGAATGGAATTAACAGCAAACTACATTCATGAAGTCAGAAAGATGGTTTGGCCATTTGAGTATGACAAAATACACAGGGACTATCCTCATAAGAAGAGGGATGCCTTTGTGGAGAACTTTCTAAGAGAGTAAGTATCTAGGGGTAAGTCAGCAAGTAAGGACTTTCTTTACTTGCTGAATCGCATTCATGCTACACATAGGGAGAACCATGAAAACCAAACATGCAGCTAGCTTATTTCTCTGTGTTCAAAACCTGGATGAATTAGCAGTATTCAGTAATCTTTAATTACTCAGTTCTTGGTAAGGCTGAAGTCATGAAAATTTAAGAGCAATGAATAAAAGTATATTTTTATTAGCATTGCATTAAAAATGCAAGTAACTTTTATACGATTTCTACATATTTTTTACATGTAAAAATTCTGATTTATGCTAAATGACTAAATTACCTAACTGGAAAAATGGAGTGAATCCACTGAAAATGAAGATTTGTACAAGCCAAAAAAGGAAAAAGGGTACTTTTCCATTTTGCTGGCACAGGCGATAAAGTAGCCAATGATGGTACAACTGATTGCAAACCTAATATCCTCACTGGTAACCTTTTACTCCTCATTTTCAACACAAGTCACAGCCATTTCTGATCAGATTGTTTGTTTCTTTCAATACTGGCATACAATTAAATAGAATTTTTACCAAATAGTTCAATTTTATGCCCTAAGGCCTTTCGTGGCCTTTTTAATTAAGTCAATTAGGATGCAATCACACCGCTCACCCGATGGCGAAAATACAGGAAAGGCAAAGCCAAGGGTTAAAATCATCAATTCTAATGAGAATGCACTAGCAAAGTAAAGCTCTGCAGTTTTAGATAATTTCTGAGTAAGCTATTCATACAAATTGAAATAATTCTTGCATTTGAACTTGTATTTTAAATTAAGATTGAACTTGAAATTAATGTAGATAATTACTGAGAGAATTAGATTTTTGTAGCATAGTTTATGTGAGATTAGATCACTTTGGGTCACGTGAATCAGGATGTTGTACCATGAAAGCATAGTAAATTCTTAAATTAATGTCTTTTTACAAACTTATTGTCTTTATTTATTGGCTTTTACAAAATTTTAAACGACATTAAAATGTTTATTCCTTCAAAATAAAAAATTCTTAGAACTAACATTCGTGAACATTTTTTATGTGTATACTGTTTGTTGTCGCCAATAAAGTCTGTTTGGCGAGATTTGCACCAGCGAAACGGAAAAGTACCATAAAAAGTTTAACCATATAGGAGTATTTATTCATGCATATCTTTTTAGGAAACAGTCATTTTTCTTCTAATTAACTATGTAAATATTAGTTAAATTATTTATAAATGTATCTGAAAATTTACAATTTGCTTATTTATTTACAAAACAATTTACTTATGTATAAATTTCTATAAATATTGCCATCAAATCTAGTTATTAAATAATATATCATGTTACGACTTTCACATTTAATTGTAAGCATAAATTAAAAGTACTATTGGCAGATGTATGTATAAAGTATTTAAGCGGGTATTATTCAGGCTAGAAAACAGTCTCTTAAACGGTTATGAAAAGCATAATATAGGAGATGCTAATGCATACTTAAAATGATTGTTAGAATGCATACTGTTGAATATGAGAACAAAATTTTGATACATATTAAAATAAGTATTTCCTTGTATTTTATAATTGCTCAGTTTCAAAACTTGAAGTGTTAATAATTTTTTTCCTTCTCCTCCTTCAATTCTTATCAAAAGTAACACTACATAGAAATCAAAGGTAATATTTAACATATTTAACTATTAAGGTATTTTAATTTGAAGAGAGCATTAATTGCAGTATGAATATGATTTTTGATTTAATCAACAGTTCAGAAAAGCTGTCATTTGAGTCATTTGAGAAAATATTTCAGGAGACTCTGTAAAGAAAATTTCTTTCAAATTAATGAAAAAATGTGAAAATGTTTCAATTAAATTAAAACTGTTCTGAACATAGGGAAATTGATAGCAGGAGATAGAAGAATATAGGAAATAAATAACTATTAATGGAAGAAAATTAATTCCATTTAGAATGAAATATTATTTAAAAAAGTAATCTTTCAAATAGTTAGGACTCAAATGATGTAACTGCAGAATATTTACCATAGAGCATGCTCTGAACATAGGGAAATTAATAAAGGAGATAGAAGAATATAGGAAATAAATAACTATTAATAGAAGAAAATTAATTCCATTTAGAATGAAATATTATTTAAAAAAGTAATCTTTCAAATAGTTGGGACTCAAATGATGTAAGTTATGTTAAAACCCACAGGTTTTAAAGATAAACCACCGAATGTTTTGATAAACAAGGGGTACATTTGAACCGTGTAAAACCATTCGGGTGGATATATTTAGGAGTTTTAAAAGAAAGATTCGGTCTGAACACACCAAAAGTATTCCCTCTTTAGACACTGAAAATAATCGATAAATATCACGAAAAACTACACTAATGGTTACTTTTAATCTCTTTTATGAATACTAGATGGCAGCACCACACAAGCAAATCATTAAAGTTGAGATATATTCTGTTTTTAAAGACACTGATTTTTTCAAAGAAATGTTTCAGATTTTTTTTAAATATAAAAAATATCAATGAAAAAAAATCTTTATATAATTTTGTTGTTCGTATGCTAATCTGCCTATTCTGTATTACTTTTAATTTTTGTCTTTGAAATATTGCGTATAGTGAAGCCTTTAGTGTTGTGTTCAAACTGAACACACTGTACTGGTAGCGCCTGTCGCATAGGTGTGAGTCACAGAATCTAGTCTCGTGCTTCAAACACGGGGGAGGCTGAGAGCGCAGATTTATTTATATTTCTTTTTAGTCTTTTCTGTTTTTGGTTTTGAAGACCCCGGTGCTTTGTTTTCACTTAGCTATTTGATTTTCAGCGAGAGCAGACCTTTTTTTCTCTTGCTTTCATTGTATGTAGTTTGCTTAGTTTTGATTTCTGTAGATTTATTTGTATATATATTTAATAATTATTTTTTTTGCCATTAATTAATTGTACATATTATAGTATTTTAATTATTTTTCTTATAAATTTTAAAATTGTGTAAATGGCTCGGAGAGGCCTCAGCATTGCCGAAGCAATGAGAGTTTCCTTTTTTTTCCCGTTTTTTTTGGGGGGGGTGTAGAGTAGCAGGCCTCCCCGTGGTGCACCCTAAGTTATGCTAAATCTGCTACAGAGATCAGATTCTACTGTTTTTTAATCATAGACAAAGTATTTTACTGTAATACGTGCTTCACAGCAATGCTCACCTATCGCAGCTTGTGCGGCTCAGTGTGTTCGCTTCGGACATACCCACAAAATGGAAATGGTTTGTGCAATTTTTGTAAAATTATACCTGCATACTCTCCTAGGCCTAAATAGACTGCCTAAAATTTTTTTTGGTAAAATTCCAACTTTAAAGAGTAGCGTGCCGGAAAGGGTTAAATCAGTTTTGAGGTACTGTAGTTATATATAACTTAATAATTTTCTGTATTTATAGTTCATATATTTTTTATTACAAATTTCATTCTAACTGTGCAATTAAGTTATAATTTATATTTCACTATTGCATGTGGTATTAATAAATATTAGAAATAACAATAAAGGCCTTAATATGGAATTCTTTTGAAAAACATATATCAACCATTTTCTTTTTGTAGGGATCAAATGTGGTTGTTGCAGCTAATAGTCAAGGAAATATTAAAGTAAGTACCACTTAAAATACATATTACATATATAGCCTCCTTCTTTAAAATATTGTCATTAATCATTACACAATTTAAATAAGTTTTAAGGAAATTAAATATTTAATAATTTGGAGTAGGAAAAGTGATGAGGCCCGGTGGCACAGTGACACCACAGGTCCGGGGTTCGAAATCCGGGCTGTGCAAGGTCGACTCAGCCTTTCACCCCTTGGGTCGATAAAGTGAGTACCAAGTTCGCTTGGGGACTAATCAGTGGGGCCCTACGATAAGCTGACCACTTGTTTAGGGTATATGCTTACGCACCCCGGGGCCCAAGGTCAAGAAAGTAGATTTTGGGGCACTGCAGGCCTTGGCCCATTAGGGCTGTTTGCACCACTGAGTTTAGTTTTAGTTTAGAAAAAGTGATATATTCTTTATATTAAATGGACAATAATTAAAGCAGACTTTTTCTTATGAGTAAACTAATTTATGTAGATAAAAATTGAACAAGTTGTTCAGTGTGGTAAACAAAAATATAAAAATAAAACTTTAAATCTGCTAAAATTATCTGCAAAGTATTGCATGTGACAAATATTTGGTAGTAATTTTACATAATCTAACGAATCTTGGTTTAAGCAATGAAAGAAAATATTGACTCCTCAGACATGTAAGTGCTACTGCTTCTTCTTCAATTTTTTTTTTTTTTTTTTTTTTTTTTTTTTTTTTTTACATTTGCACATGAAATATGCTACCTCTCTGCAGCTTTAGAAAACCTTAGTAAGGGGACTGACTGCTTTTGAAAATTATCAGGCTCCAAATAATTAAAAACAAGAGATAGTATTCTTGGTGAATTATTTTAGGAAATAGTAGAGCTTAATCCTGATAAGAAAGCTCTCTATGTTCCTGCATTTCCCATGATGGGTTTATTTCCACTGATTTATATTCTTCCTTTCTTTATATTCTTCACTTATATAAAAAGATTATCTTTGACATATAAAAGACTCAAAAACGTAATCAGCACCTACAGTATGACTGTATGGTAAAAGTCATGCATTTCATCAAAAGGATCCCGAGTCCTTTTTTTTTATTATTTGTGCTCCAGGTTTAATTGGATTAAAATTCAGATGGTAAATTTGTTCCTCTCAATATAAAAAAGAATAAAAAATGCTACTAGCAATAGCATTAGATTTACAATATTAAAGAGGATTAAGACACAATAACACGCCGAATAAATACTAATTCAGAAGTCAAACAACAAAAATCAGCGTTATACCTACAAAATTTGTAGGTATAACGCTGATTTTTGTTGTTTGACTTCTGAATTAGTATTAAAGAGGATCTTTAGCCATTGCCTTTATCTTCGTTATGATATACTGTTGAATGATCGCCTGCTGTACCATTTTCATGTAAATAGTACATACAAAAAAAAAAAAAAAAAAAAAAAAAAAAAAAAAAAAACCTTGAAGCTCATTTAGGGAGCTCCACAAATTATTGAGAATCTGTCTCTGAAAAATAATATGCCCTATTCCAGGCGTTCTCAACCTGTGGTACACAAGAGAAAAATAGGTGATATGCGGAGATGCAAAGTACTTTTAACTACTAAATTCAAAAATTAAAATCCCATTATCCTGATTGAGAGTGGTGGTGGTAGTAGTACTTTGTAGTGGTGGTACTAAAGGTTTTCAATTTTTATTCAGATGGTATGTGTTAATAAAAAGATTAAGAACTGCTGCCATATTCCAAAGAACTTCTAAACCAAAATTAGTGCAGTTTGATCTCAGCTCCTTATTATTATATTATGTAGTTTGCTACCTCTTGTAAAAATATTTGTTTCTTTTACATGCCCAATTATTTTTAAACTTATTATGTACAATTTGTAAACAACTGTGAACAAAAGACAGAGGTCGAAATTTTTACAAGTTCTGTACATATGTGTAGTAATATTTAAAAGCTTTTGGCCTCCCCCCCTTTTTTTTAAAGTTTGCCAATAAATTTCTGTTGTACGCATGTAATTACAAATTTATGTTAGTTTATTTTTTTGACATAATCTTCTGAGTTGTTTCATGGCATCATTCAAATAAAATAATTTGTGGGTTTTTCTTAAAATGTTCAAAATTGAGTACAATACAGTCATTAAACTTTTGATTAAAAAAGGTAAAAATTGTTATGAAATAAAATCGGTGTTTGGGTCATTTTAATGACGATTCCTGTTATACAGTAAAAAGAATTGATAAAACAAGTTTCTATGACATGAGAATCCATTGAACATGATCCTGATCTATTTCAGCCATTTGGAGAAGTTGGCAATTAGAAAACATTGGTAGAAATATTCAGTGACAGAAAGTTAAAAAGCATGGAGGTAACAGCACAATAATATCTCCTGAAGCAACTATATAATGCAGTCTCTATTTTATGAGCAAGATCTCTGCAAGGTGCATGCTTCATCTTATATCATTAATTAAAAAATAACAGTTTGTCAACTGTTTAAGAAGTTGTTACAACTTTGCTGTGCAAATCATAGAACATTTTTACAATTGATCACAACAAGTGATGAAACCAAGGTTATGATCTCCATCAAATGGGGAAAAGGGAAAGTGCTATCAAGAAAAGCAAAATTTTAGCAGTTAAAGAAAAAGACTGTGGTCATAATATTTGGAACTACCACATGATTCTCATGATAAGCCTTAAAGAAAAAAAGACAGCCATTACTATGAACTGCAAGTCTTTTATTTTAGTTTTATTTATGTAACTCTTTGAGTTACACAATGAATTGGTCATGGATTGTTAGATGAGGAATTCATCTTGTGTATAATAATACTCCAAGCTGTCATCCCTCCCAAAAAAAGCAGTAAATTAATATGGTTTCAGGAGATAGCTACTTCCATTACAATCCAATTCTAGCTTCAAGTGACTTATATGTGCTCTCTAAACTCAAAATTTGAGCTTTATAGAAGATTTAATGATGATAAATTTATGAAAGTAGGTGTTATGGAACATTTTGATAATATATTCAGATTATAATGTAGAACCACAAATTAAAAGTGTGTCGATATACATGGTAAATATATTGAAAAATAAACAAATCAGATTTTTTTTTATACTTCTTTTAGAAGTATTTTAGGCCAGAAACTTTTGGATCTTACCTGGCATGAATATTTTTATGTTGACTTCTCTGTCAAATGGGAAAATTCTGAAAATCCTTTACTCATAAATGGTCATGTGAAATGGAAGGTAGACATTCTTTGTGAGTAATCAGATTGTTTAATTCTTAAATGATGAAATACTTGCAATTTTAACATAGCTTCTAGATTGATCGTTATAACATAGCTTCTAGATTGACCGTTATCAAGCCATTTTACTCTATATTCTATATTATTTCTATTAATAAAGCATATAATTTGAAATTGGCATTAAAGCCCCGTTCACAAGAGCAGATTCGACCGGTAGCGAAAACTGGTTCTTCCGACGTGTCCCGTTCACATGGGACAAGCGTTAACTGCCTCGCCGAATTGGAGGTAGAACTTGGTTGAATGTTCCTTACCTCTCAGGAGCAGGGTAAATGGGGAGATTTCCCGTTCTATACTGCGTGGTTCACTTAATTTTAGTTACTGCTTGCTGGACTGTCAGCGAAATAATCGTGCTGATAGATGTCTGGGGATGTGATAGCATCCCCCCACCAAAAAAAATTAGATAGAACTGTACAAATTATGGAAATTATAGACAAATACAGACAAGGTTATCTGATGCTAGGTATTCCAGAAATATCATTCAAATTAAAACTAAAATTAAGACAAGTGCATATCGGCTTCAACGCGACAAGGGACTTGGTATTTTTTGAACAACATTTTTTAAAAACAATTTAAGCATTCTCATCTAATTTTCATGAATATTATTAAATGGTTTTGTGAGACAAAATAATTTTAAGCTGAAAAAAAAAGTTTTTGCTAGTAATTTTTTTAATTTAAATTTTTGAAGAAAAATTTTACAATTAAAATGTCTTTCTTCTCCTACAATTTTCAATGTCTACCCCCAATTTTTTATTGTATTTATTAGAGTGTTTTTAATAACTTCAAGGAATGATTTTGCAATTAATGAATTAGTTTCTGAGAAAAAAATAAAAATACACTTTTATCTAAAATCTTTAAAACAGATATGATCTCTGTCACATTTTCATTTCAAATAATTTTTCCTTTCAATATTTTGCAAAACTCATCCTTGTTTCTATAAAGTATATAATTTTAAATAAGCAGTAAAAATAATAAAAAAATTAGTCCATACCTGTATATCTTTTAGGACTTTAAGTAAAAGGATTTATCGAAAAAAGTACAAAAGGTTTCTCAGTTTGCATTTGCAGTTTAAAGAATACAAACTGTCTAAATAGACATTTAATCATATTATAAATCAATATATAAATATATATAAATATCATTTCAAATCTTTAAAATTTTATTACTGAATTTCAATACACACACATATATATAAATCAAACCTAGCGCTATTTATTCAATTGGTAAATATAAACATAAATTACAAACCTTTTTTTAAAACTTTATGTGGCCAGAAAAATTGCAAAAACTCATAAAACACAAGCAGAATTTTTCTTTACCTGTTTTTGTTTTGTAAAACACGTTCAAACCAATTTTAATGTATTAATTAATTATAATATTGTTGCATGCATACGGGTTTGTAATAGATTGATAATAGTTTGTAAATGATTGTCATTGCACTCAAATCCGGTGATAGCTTAATTAAATAAATTTTATCAACAGAAACACTTCAGAGTTCTGGAATTTTCCACAAAAATACTTGTACAAGTGTTTAGAATATCACTAAGTATAATCAGTAATTATGCTTCAATCTAATAAGAACATTAAACACAATGGAATGCAAAACGCATCTTAAGAGAAAGTTAACTCAGAAATATCTCCAATCTCTTGCTGAACTAATAACTGGCAACAATAACAACTTATATAGCATAAATAATGTCATAAAAATAGTGTGGTATAATGAGATTATTACTTTGAAACCGATGTTTCAAATTGATGCCCAAGAAGAACCAATATTTCCCATTTTGCTTCATTGCATATCTTTCAAAAAAGTAAAAAAAAATCATCCAATTAATTTCCGTTATCATTTTTTTTAATGCGAAATGTTTGTTTTACAAGCTGTGAAAATGTCAAAAGTTTGTAACCGATATATTTTTAGATATGAAATTTTAAAATTAATGGGCGTCAAAAAGTCTAAAAATATGAACGATTTTCAAAAATTCTCACAAAATATTAAAAAAAAAAAAAAAAAAAAATGCTAAAAATTTCATTTAATTTTTTTTCCTTCACAGTGTGTTATAGTGCAAACTATAATATTCTGAGATTCTCAGTTTATTTGTTAATATTTGCAAAAAAATTGTTTCAACTTTAAATTTGAAAAAAATCTAATCCTCTAAAAATCAAAAGCGTGACACCACATCCACAAGCAGTGTATGTACAAAGTTTGAGTTCTATATCTTATCAGCAAGCAGTTTAAAAATCCATGACCATCTTTTAACCATAGCGACAAGCTCTAAAAGTGAAATAAATAACAGCTTATAAAATAATAATTAAAAAGCATATATTTTTCAGGAACCATTATGAAAGTTCAGGTACTAGTTGCGAAAGTACAAATTACAAAATTAACAACAGTAAACAACATTAAAAATGTGTAAACAGTATTAGAAATTTGTCAATTCAGAAATGGGATTGTTCACAGAGGCTTAGGTGTAAAGGGAAGGAAGATGGTGGTCTTCTGAACTGGTCCTAAAGACGAAACTCTTTCATGTCTCCTTTTTGTCCTCTTGCTAATGGCAGCTGTGTGAAGGAGCATTGCATGTGAATGGGGTTTAAGACATCAGTTCATGTTTTGACTATGGATTATACAGGGATATCTTCAGCCATACAGGGATTTTATTTTGCTCTCCCCTTTTTTTTTTTACTTCTATGCAGATCAAAAGTTTCGTACTATTACTTAATGCAGATATCAAGCTTAAGCCATCAAAAATATAACAACCTGTATTAAAGATTCTACTGCTGAAAATCCACAGGCTATTATTATGTTCTATAAATTTGTGCTTGGTATTCCAAATTAACAATTATATAATAGGAGATTTTGGTTTTGACTGAAGGTACAGCTGAGTAATTTTCTATTAAAACAGTAACAGAGATGCCATAGCTTAGACACACACTATATACAGGAATAGAGGGAGGGAATCCCTTGACATGTGATCAAAACAGTCAGTGACAGAAGCCATTCTAAAGTTGCAAGCTTTTTCATTGAGCTAAGGATAAACTATTCTAAATGTGTGCAAAGTACATCTAGCCTTCAACTCATAAATTATTTATTGAGGGAAAGGATTATGGAACTTCCTCATATCTTTGTTCCCATTTGTTGCAGTGATTGTAAAACAAATTCATAATACTTGCAATAATGATATGCATCAAAATTTTTGGAGAATTAAGTATATCTCCTGACTTAAGAATATCTCCTGACAGTCTACAACTATCCCTTGCTGTAGAAATCAGCCCTAACCCTTTTTTTTATAGGGATGCCTTCAAAAAATGTCCTTACTTATGAATGATGCATTTAATGACAAATTGGCTTTCTGGTTTTTGCTTTAAGTAAAATATTCGTTATAACAATCATGTTGTCTTTCTTATAGTCAACATTTGTCAAGAAATAACAACAAAATTTTCTCTTGATCCACCTCTACTTAAAATGTATAAGGCCACTATATTAATCGCCCCCCCCCCAGTTAGATATATTGGCAAGAGCAGTACTTATGATGGACAGACAGTACATTTTGTATTATGAAAATTAATAGTTTATTATGAAAAAGTGGAATCAGTTGCTTAAATATGCCATTCAGCTTGAAATTTTAAATAAGTTGAATATAAATAATATATATAATAGGATTTTAGTTAAATATGCTTACATACACTTCTTTCTGAGTAAACTCATGTTTTATTTTTCTTTCTTTTTTTAGGTTATGGAATTAGTATAACTTAGCTAAAGAAGCATGTACATAATGTAAATAATGTACAAAACAAATCTGCATTAAATCATGCTAATTGTGGTTACTAGGCAGCTATGACGAAAAAGGCATTTTAATGCTTTCTTAAAAATGTTTATGCCAAATTAGTTCAATAAAATGTATATTTTCATAAGATATCAATTATTTATTTGTTTAAAGTATTTTAAGGTTAAATATATTAAAAAAAATAAAATAATCAAATCTTGAGCTTCATTTTTAAAAGAAATTGTCCATTTCTTTTATATATGTCCATAATAATGAAATCTATTTACAGTGACATGTAAATAATGGGATATTTATTTTTAATATTTAACAAAGTTATACATAAGCATTATATATAATAATTAGAATAATTTTAAAAATATTTGTTTAGTACTGTTTGCAATATTTTATTTGCATAGAAGAAATGATTTTACAAAGTATGTGCTGTATTTTTAGCAATCAGCCTTAAAATGTTATAAAGTACCAAAACATATGATAAAGATTAGGCCACAGTATATAAGTATTAATAATAATATAGAAAAGCAACACAGGAAAAAAATTTGTTAAACATGATGTGTAAACAGCATCTTTTTGAAAGTGTAAAGTAATTACTGCACATAAAATTTTTAACAAATGTTTTAAATGACTTAAAATATAGAAATGATTAGGAAAGTGCTAAGTGCATTATTATTATTTAAGAATGATCATTATCATTAAAATATTGAAGGTTTTCACAGCCATAATGTGTATTGAACACTACAATGAAATACAATGAGCTCTTTTAATTTGTAATTTTTAAAATTTATATAGGGATTATTAGATATATTAGACAGATATGATTAAAGAGGCTTTAGTGACAGAATAGAATTCAAAAGAGTGTAAGCTGAAGAACATGGGAATATTTTAATATTAAAAGCTGGCTCTTGCAAAACATGCATTAAAATCAGATTATTAAATTGAATTGAATATGGGAATCTATTAATATTAAAAGCTGGCTCTTACAAAACATGTATTAAAATTAGATCATTGAACTGAAGAGAATAAATCAGTTATAATGGGACTAATTTTGTTTGGTAAACATAGATAATGTGAGCATTTAGAAATATTATTTCTCAAAGAGTATGCTGAGAGATTTATGAAAAATAATGAGACATATTTACAAACTTTGACTAGAAAGTTTTAAAACTAGTAAAATATAATTAACATCATACTTATTATTACTTATCAATTAGTTCATCAAGTAAACATTTGTCAATGCTTCTGTAAGCTTCTAGCAATATAAAGGAAGCATGCAATACTGTGCGGTTCATTTTTGATGACTGCCTGGATAGATCCTAACATCTGTGCCATATTCACCTTAGTGGTGCTTTCAACAATGGGAAGAGGAATTTATTACATAATCACACATCAGAGGAGTCTGGAGTATGTGGAAGAACCATAATGTTGTGTTTTGCAAGAAGTTCCTGATAGGCAGAATGGTGTGTCATCTTGTTTTGTAATGTAAGAGAAACCTGAAAGTCCGTAGGCTGGGTTGTTCCCACCTTATTGCCCTTTTAAGGTTTGGTTAAATTGTTTGATTTGGTTGAAGAATTGGTTTATTCTTCTTCCTAAGACACATGTTTCTAATTTAGCATTAAGATATTTTTTTGATGCAAAATAAAGTAAAATATATTAATTTTTTTAAAATTTTATTAATCAAGCAAAAATAACATACTGAGAAAATGTTTAGCAGTAAAATGAGATGTATACTCAACAAACCAATATTTGTTCAAATAAATTTTTTATTGTAACATTTATAAACAATATTTATTGTTCTACCATCCACTATGAATATATCGTTAACTTGCAAATTTATCAGTACCCTAAAATACACTGAATATTTGCACTTTTCTATTCCATCTTTCTTGGGTCAAAAGACACTTCAAGCTCCTGTTTCAGGATATTTTTATTAAACTCGCTTTTTGAGACCATAATCGAGGTCATGGGTGTAGTTCTTGAATATCAGTTTTAGCTTACCTATTCCAACTCTGCTTTGATATGATAGCAAAACTTTTCATCTTTTCACATGGTGCAGTCACATTGTAACAATTAATGGAGACACATGCACCAAATTTTTATATTATAGCGACACATGCTCGTAAAAATTATAGTTAAATGATCATGACCAAGACTGTTGTCATTCAAAGAGATCAGACACTCTCACTAGCTGATACAATATTTAATTTTTCGCAAACTTTATTTATTACTTTTTAAATTTATTTGAACAAATATTTCTAAAGTAAGCTTCATTCTTGTATATTCATGAGTTATAATTCCAGATTGTCTGAACTTGATACCAGAAACTGGATGAAATACAGTACAATATTGAGCTGTGTTATCTAGGATGGCTACTTTACGACCTATGTGAAAGTCATAAAGCACTTCTTAACTTTTTTAAGCAACTCATGTTTCTTCATAGTAATATGTATCTTGACTATTTAATTAAACCACTTTGATGTGTGTGCGTATATACTGGGTGTTAGCATAGCAGTTACAAACTTTCAGGAGAGAACACCTAGACGATGGAAAATCATATAGCAATGCGTGGTCGGAAACTCTTTCCTGTCGTAGTAATGATGACACAAAACACAAAAAAGAAAGGACATGAACAGGGTGAGAAAACATGTTTATTATGCTCAGTATAACTAAAATGTATGGGCTAGCATCGTTAGGGACCACTCAACTGTCATTCATTTTATTTTGAAAGCAGCAATCACGCAGAATCGAGATATTTCTGACAAGGTGTTGTCTGAGTGCTATTCCATGACATCCCAAATGTGCTCTATCGGGTTAAAATCTGGCGAGTTAGGTGGCCAAGATATTAATTGAAATTTATCCTTATGTTTCTCAAATTACTCCAACACAGTTCGAGCCTCGTGACATGGAGCGTTGTCCTGCTGGAAGATTACATTTCCAGTTGAGAAGACAGATGCCATGTAAAGGGCCATTGACACTGGGGTTTATCTGAGCTAACGATGTCAGTTTCATGTGTTGACTAGCTCCGTTATGCATGCAGTTTAGATTTTTCAACTCGCTGCACTGTGGGGAAAAACTGGTTTTGGAGAAGGGTCGGCTATGTCAGTTGTCTCCCTTAGATAAACTCCAGTGGGAACGGTCCTTAAGGGTGCAACTGATTCATAATTATGTTCAGATAGTCCACAGCTTTCGTGGTTTGTTCTAACTAAGGGTCCCAGAGCCATCCATGAAAATGACCCCAACGTCTAATACTACCACCACCAGCCTGAGTATGACCTGCTGTGCAGGGAAGAAAGAGCAACTGTTCGCCTGGAAGATGGCATACCCTGGCACAACCATCGATGTGATGAATGAAAAATCCTGACTTATCTGACCAGGCAACTGACTTCCACTTATCAATGGTCCAGTTTCGATATTCCAAGGCCCACTGTATGTGCAATTGATAATGACGCTTGGTCAAATGAGACACACAAGTGGGATGTCTGTTGTGCAGTGCCACACCCAACAGTTTCCACTGAACTGTATGCTCCGAAACACTTGCACTTGGACAGCTGCACAGGTGGAATAGTGGTTAAAAAAGCCTGACTGCGATACCAGAGGGCCCGGTTTTGAATCCCAGAAAAGTCGTGTATGTAAAACTGTTTGTCCCTTCATAGGAGGTAACAGTGGTCTCCGTGCCTCCACAATAAAATGGCCACCATTTCTGGCCTTAGGAGTGGTTAATGCCATTATAGGCAAGTGCTTGCAATTGGAGGGGGAAAAAAACTTGGACAAGCACTGTATTAGATTGTCAGCTGAGCTACTGGTGCCGATTTTTCTGTACTAAGAGGAAAAGTTTCGACATCCTTTTTCTTTGATAATGCGTGGACGCCCAACATCTTGGCATCTACTGCTGGTTTCACCGTCACTTATCCACTTTGCATAAATACTGACAATGGCGTGAACAACCTGCTAGTTGTGCTTCTGAGTCTTCGGGCTATTACAATTTGCCCTCTATCAAATTTGCTTAGATCAGCAGCCTTTTCTGTCACTTGCAAAAGTAAGTGCAAGAATGATTCCTTACCTTCTCCAAGTAGTAGTTAAATACCACTTCCACTTAATCAAATGCCCTCCACATCATTCAGATGAGTTCACTGAAAAATGTGGGGATGGTTATAATGTTTTGGCTGATAAGTGCAGATGTAAAACAAAACTGAATACAAATATTTTTGAATTTGTTAAACACTAGTTGATTCTCTTTAAAAAGTTTTTTAGATGTCAAGACAATTCAGATCACAGAAAATTTTATAAGAAATAGTATGATTGCTAAAAATTACTAGGGTGTAGTAATGGAACTTTTGAAATTCAAATTTCATTAATTCAGTTTCACTTGTTGCAGAGAAACACTTTCCTTAGTAAAGGATAAAAATTAAAAACCATGATATTCGGTAATCTACCAAGAGATGTGATGAAAAACGGCAGATTTGATTGCTGTGCTAGAGAATGTAATGTATAGAATATTTCACTATTGTTTTATTTAATGTTCGTAATTATTTTAGTAATTAAACTTAAACAATAATTATACAAAATGCACAAACAGCTTGCTTAATGAAGTATTACTACTATTAAGTCTTTGAATGCATTGCATCAATGAATAAGGATTCTATGCTGTATATGAGGGTCACATAGAAAGTATTGCATTAAATTAAGCAGAATTTGTATTAAAATGGATAAATATCAAAGTAATTTTTATTACATTCTCACAAAATATTTTTTTTAATGCTGAATACAGCTTTCCATCCTTTCAAACGACCTGTTAAATTGCTCACCATTCTTTTAGGATACTGTCCACAAACTCTTTATAGGCTAACAACATTTTCAGATGGATTAAATCTCCGTTCATCAATATTTTCCTTAACTCTGGAAAATACAAAGTTACATGGAGCCAAATCTGAAATATAAGGAGGGCAGTCAAGATCTTGAACCCCTGAATCAATTAGAAATTGTTCTTATTGGTGTTCTAGTCGTGGCACAGTACAATTTTTAGTAATTCGGGCTGTGGATTTAATATACTAAGCTAGCATTCTGTGATATATCATTAAACAGTTACTGCTATTGTTTATTGATCATCTTGCATCACAGCTCCAATGTGTCCCTTTACAGAGAAGCTGACTTTGGCGTGAGGATCTTGATCAGGAAAATTCTGTATGGCAAACATTAGTTTCTGGATCACATTGATACAGCCAAGATTCATCACCTGTTATGATGCTAAATATCACTTTTGAGCATTTTTCATCAAATTTCTGATGAATTTTGTCTATTTAAGACTGCTTCATTACACCAAGTTTCCATGCAGAATTTTTTTGACAGCTGCAGATATATTTTTAAGATAATTTTGAATTTGATTACAAGTTCCATTATTAGCTATTCTTTTAACATCTACTCAAAAGCATGTTTTTATTAGCAATGGCTGTTTGGTCAGGTTTGATTTGATTATGGCAAAGCACCTGAGGACCATCTGACTAAGGGAAGGAATGCTTTCGTAGAGGACTATCTAAGGGAAATTGGATCGTATACACTTACAAATGGGGAAAATCATGAAAATGCCTAGCTTGTTCATCAGGATTCAAACACCTGACCAAGCTACCAATATTCAGTGATTTTATTGGTTCCTGACTCCAAATTAATCTTTATAATTAAAACTCCATTTCTTTAAATAACTTTAATGCACATTTTTTGATTTAAAAATAATCTTTATTAAAGTTCTTAGCAACCATAAGCAATTTTTTAGAACAACAACACTGAATAATCTTTTTGTTGCCACTGCAAAAATATCAAAGAAGCAAATAAAACGATATTAACCATTATTTAAAATTTCTGTATAAGCCACAACAATATTTCCTTCCCAGTAACTAAGTTATGGTAGAGCATATTATTACCACCAAAACACACTATTTACAGAAACTATTATAGATATATGTAAATGCTAATTCCGAAATCATGTGCAGGGGGTTATATTGTCCATCCTATAAGCGACTGTTTTGCAGGAAGCTTTTTAATTTTAGAAGGTAAATCTGTTGGAGGTTTGATAGGTTGTCTTATTGACGTTGATTGCTTTGTAGTAACGTCTGATATTTGCTAGAAATATGCAGGCTTTAATCTACCAATAGAGACTGTAACATCTTTGTGTTAGATTTTTACTGTAAAATATTTTTCTTTTCTGTCAACCACTTGAAAAGGACCATCGTAAGGAGGTTCTAATTGCTTTTTAATTCTATCTTTGTGAATAAACACATGCGGTGAAGTTTTCATGTTTTTAGGGACAAATATTTTTTGGACATATTTATCAAATACTGTTCTTGGTCCAATTTTTTCCATATTTTTTTTAGCTGCTTGACAAAACTATCAGGTGGTGTAGGAGTTATGCTATCTTGGAAAATTTCTCCATGTAATCGTATATTTTGTCGACAAGGATAAGGATAAGGAACGGGGGACGTGGGCACTATGCCTCTACCATACGGTTAATTAGTATAGCACCACGTCCACCATGATCTAGGGAACCCTTAAGACAACACTAATTCAAATACGTGAGTACCTTATTGAAAATGAATGAATGATTACAAACAATTATGGTATACCTTGGCAGTAAAATTTTTGCATTTGTGTAAATAACAAGTTACGATAAAGACAAAGATGTAGTGATAGTCTGTAAAGTGCTAACGATTAGTATTCCAGTTGTTGCTATTAAAAGAGGATACTTCCTGCTGTAATGGTCACTCCAGGGCCATTTATTCTGCTGCACAGAGGTCCGTGCCGAGACTGGCTAGGTTCTCCATAATTTTGATGAGCTGCCGGCAGAGGTGCTTCTGCTTGACCATGAGCTTACAGAATGCCTGTGTGTTTGTAGTGAGAATACGTATGTGCATCCCATTGGTCAGAGAGCAGGTAGTGACGTAATGCTCCGGAGTACCCAGGTGACCGCAGCTGCACTGGTCTGTGTCAGTCGTGCCATGCCTGGCAAAGTACTCCGGGAAGGGTCCATGGCCTGTAACATAACGGACCAGGTGCGGGTTTGAGTGGAGCCTGGCTGGATTAACATACAAAAGATAATAATGAGTACGTCTGCCGGTCTCAGCAATGTCCCACTCAGCCTGCCACTTTGAGAGTGCTTGCAGATGGAGCATTCTTTTTAAGGTAGAGTGTGGCCACGGTAATGCTAGCTCCTCGGCTTCCTTATTTAGGGCAGCGTCTTTCGCAAGGAGGTCTGCTGCCTCATTTCCCATATTGCCTGCATGGGCTTTCATCCATGTCAGGCGAGCTTCCAGATGTTTAAACTGTCGTAAGAGGCTTTGAATTTCCTGGACTATTGAGGAGGAGTGTGCCGGATTTTGCAAGGCTCGCAGGGCTGACATACTATCGGATACTATAACAGCTTTTTTGATGTTGTTGCTGGCAATATGTTGTACTGCTTTCTGAATAGCAACTGCCTTCCTTTGAAAGACGCTGTTGTTCCCGTGAAGGTGGCCCTTCCATTGCGTGACTTGTTCCTTGCCTTGAAACATAACAAACGCGCATCCCACATTGTGGTCCATTTTGGAACCAACAGTGAAGATGAGGGTATTGAACATTTGTATATCTTCTGGCTGTCCGTCCATCTTTGAGCCGTCGGTGTACGCATAGGTATTGTGCCTATGGGTCTCGAGAGACTGTTCTTTGATGCTGACGTTTATCCCTATGCATTGTTCGGCCGGGTGCTTGTCTAGGATCACCGCAAGTACTTCATAGTCACTCGACCAGTACATCGTATCCTCAAAAGATGCCGGCACATTGAGCTGTGAACTGCTTCCCGTTCCTTGCTGATGTGTAAAGGAACCATCAGGTGCTAGAACGTTCAGCGCATTTGTGGCCGTTGTGCAAAATGCCCTCGTTATATTAAGAGCAAACTGTTGTTGAATGCTGAGCAGGTGCCGGACCTTTCGGCCCTGCATCGGCTGCGCCCACACGGCCGCACCATATGTTACCATTTTTTCTGTTACAGTCTGATACAGGATCTTATGTATATGGGGGTTAAGGCCCCATCTGTAACCTTGCATATGGCGCAAGTACTTAGCGATAGCCTGTGTGCGTTTCTTTAAATCCATTATATGAGGGATCCAGCTGAGTTTGTTATCGAAGATGAGTCCCAAATATTTAAGCTGAGGCACCATCTTTATCCGCTGGTTATTTAGTGTGATGCGCTGTTGACGCAAGAGTGAACCACCTTTTTTGGGTGCAGAACTATCTGCGATTTCTCTCTGCTATGAGTAATTTATAAGTGCTGCATCTGGTGTTGAAGATGGAGCAGGTTTCGATGCAGTTAGCTTCAAGCTCCCTTCTGAAATGTCCTTCTACAATAAAGGTCGCGTCATCTGCGTAGGCTATTACTTTAGTATGTGATGGCCACTGCTCTGCTATTATGCGATTAAAAGAAATGTTCCACAAGTAAGGGCATCCACGGTTTGCCTCCTTTGTAGAATACCACCATTATGCACTATGATCGTGCTCCTGTCTGATAAGTAGTGTCGGATAGTGCTGTAGAGGTTGGAGGGTCATCTGGCATCCGCTAATGCATTTAGGACGGCGGACCACCACAACGTGTCGAAGGCACTTTTCAGGTCTAGACTGATGAATGCTGTGTGGTGGCTGCTTCCCTTGTTTGCAAGTATTACATTCTTCACCTCTGCTAGTGCATGGACTGCTGATTTTCCTGTTCTGAACCTAAACTGGTTGGGGCTTAGGTAGTCCGTATAATGGAGGTGATGCCGCAGCCTGTTCATTAAGAGCTTTTCATACACCTTTCCCAACGCGGACAACAGGCAAACTGGCCTGTACGAGTCCGGGTTGGTGGGATCTCTGTTCTTTTTTAAAAAGAAAACCGCTTGGCCTACTTTAAAGCATCTTGGAAATGTGCCTGTGTCATACAGGCTATTGAAGAGGGTTCTGAAGAATTCAATATTGGTGCGAATCACAACCTTAATGATCTTATTGTTGACACCGTCCGGACCCGGTGCTTTTTGGCGGCGTAGCTGACGCAGCACTTGCTGAATCTCATGAGAGGTGAATTGCTGATCGTTTGGTGGTGGGTATAAAGAGCTGTGTTTCGCAAGGAGTGATGTTCTGTTGTGTCCTCATCCTCATTATCTTGCAGTAAGACAGCATCCAGGATGTCATTTAAAGTGTACACTGTGGGACTGTCGTTGTAATTTCCTGTTGCTGGTAAAAAAGATGGAAGTTGGTTGGCATGAACCTTTTTCCAGTGGCCAGCTTGTGGTGGATACCGCATGGGGCTGTACTGTCTGTACAGAAGGCTCTCCACACGTTTAGTTTTGCCTGAAGAATCATCCTTTTATAAAGTGCCCTTTCTCTTTGAAATGTTGTGAGAACAGACGTCTCGGTGCCGTTCTCGTTTGAGTCGACGTCGGAGGGCCCGGCATTTCTTCTGTTGAACTCTCAGTTCACTGGTCCACCAGCTCAGTGTTTGTAGTCTTTTAGTTGATCTCGCTGGAAGAGTTTCCTCGCATGCATCCTGTATTGCGTTAACGACATCTTCAGTGGGTTTTTCTAGCTCCGTCTGAGTGGACTCCTTAACTACCCTGATACGCATTCTATCCAGGTGGGTCTTACATCGCCTGGTGAATTGCTTTACCTTGCTTCCGGGTAAGTTGTAGCGTCGGATGATAGAAGTAATCGTCTCACATGCTAGCCATGCAAGATCGAGTGCAAAGCCGCACATCTTTATGGATGGTTGGCCAAATAAATTTAGATGATAAGAGCTTTACAAATGACTTAATGCCAGGATGGGCTGCATTAAGCATTTGATGAAATATTTTCTTGTGATAATTGCCAGGAATATATAGTCTGTTATTATTTGTTGAAGTTTCACACCACAAAGATTTCCCAGAAGGTAGTGGATACCGCTTGAAGTTCAGAGAAATTGCTGATGTCTTCAAATTTTGCAATTCTTTATCCATAGTTTGTTCATTTGGCAATTTTATCATAGTCAATCAAAGAAATTTCTTTAGTTCTGGATAAAATATCTGCAACGATGTTATCTTCATCTTCTATGTGCTGTATATCAGTTGAAAATTGTGAGATGTATTGTAAATGTCTAAGTTGATAAGATGATGCTTTTTCTGGCTTTTGTTTAAATATGTTTATGGTCTGTGAATATTTTAAATATTCTTCCTTCCAGTAAATATTTGAAGTGTTTGATGGAGAGGTGAATTCCTAGAAACTCTCTATCATAAGTACTCTAATGCTTTTGCGCTTCATTTAATTTTTCGGAATAATATGCAATAGGTTTCCAGCTCTTATCTTCAAATTGTTGAAATACTGCACCAATCGCAGAGTCTGAAGCATCTGTATTGACAGAGGTAGTTCATGATTCGGAAATGATAAAAATGTTGTATTAACTAAATCATCTTTGCACCGCTGAAATTGTTCCTTAGCTTCATCAGTCCGCTGCATTTTCCGTTTTTTTTTTTTTTTTTTTTTTTTCTGAGCTCCTTTAAGGTAGTCATGTAGGAGAGATTGGCTTTTTGATGTATTTTTTAAATATTGCCGATAAAAGTTAATAAGGCCTAAGAATGTTCTGAGTTCGTGAACGGTTGTTGGAAGTTTATAATTAACAATAATTTGGACTTTGTCAGGTAACGGTCAGGTAACGGACTTTGTCAGGTAACGGAATAAATAACCCAAGAATTCTATATCTTTTGCGCTGAAGATAGATATGGAAATGTTAATGCAGAGTCCATAGTCATTTAATCTTTCAAACACTAGCTTCAAATGGATGTGTTATTCCTCACTAGCAGATGCTATCAGAATGTCATCTAAGTAGGGAAAAGCGAAATTTAGACCAGAAAGGACTGTATTTATAAATCTTTGAACTGCTGGGTGCATTTCTCAAACCAAAATTCATTTAAATTCGTATAACCCAAAAGGAGTAATAATAGCAGTTTTATATCTATTTTCTTCAGCAATGGGCACTTGATAGTAGACTTTAAATAAATCTGTTTTTGAATTAATATTTGTAACTTTTGAAACATGATGAAAGTCCTCTATCCTAGGAACAGGATAATCTATCAGGAACTGTTCTATCGTTTAGCTGCCTATAATCTCCACATGGACAAAGAGTGCCATCTTCTTTAAGCACCACATGAAGAGGACTTGCCCATTGAGAACTTAAGGGTCTATTATGTTATTATCCAACATGAATTGGAACTCTTGCTTAACTACTGCAAGCTTTTGATGATCCAACTGTCTTGCTTTAGAATGCACTGGTTGACTATGATGTTGAACATTATGTTGTAAACCTGATAAGAACGAATTTGGTTTGCATAAGTCTGGGTATTGGTTTAGAAGACTACAGAATCTTGTTGAATGGTTTACTGTAACGATATCACTATTTTCACTGATGGAAACAACTTCACTTACCTTTAGTTGAGTTACACCATCAATCAGTTTCTTGCCATGCAAATCAATTATTAATTTATATTTGTTAAGAAAATCAGCTCCTAAAATACCTTTATTAATTTTGGCCACTCTAAATGGAAATTAGAATTCACGCCTAAGTACCAAATCAAGTGATAACATTTTTATACCATAAGTTTCAATTTCGGTACCATTCGCTGCATACAACTTGGAAATTCACAGATTGTTTCTCTTGTGTTGATGCGGGTAAAATGCTAACGTCTACACCACTATCCATTAAGAAATGCACTTTCGATTTTTTATCTCTTAATAGGCGAAATTGGTGATACTCTGGAACATTATCAACAGTAGAGCTTGTCGCCTCCTCTACTGCGCACTGACACTTCACTGATTGGATGACTTATCAGTTGACCAACTGCACGACTGAGTACATTCTGATGACATTTGTAACCCAAATGGAAATGATAAAAACAACTTCTTCATCAGAATTTTATAAGTTCAAGAAATGTGTTTTAGCTTAGAATATGCACGGTATAATTTTAATTTATTTTTCATTTCCTGGGATCAGCTTACAACTGATTAAATATAATATTCCAGCTATATAGCAGGGTTTGGAAATAATTTTGTACTAATGATTTCTAAATTAAAATTAACACTGTGTTTTACATTAATGAATAATCCTAAAAAAAATATAAAGTTTATGTTTCTTCATACTGTCAATATCCAAAAGGGAAAAAAGTATGGAAAAATATTTTATTTATAAAATATACAGCATAAATAATTGAAATTTAGTTACATTAGAGTGCATATCTGACTTTCAACTGGCTTTTCATCTGCTTTTGTTACATCTTTACCAATCCGCTGCACTACGGATGCTGTATTCCCTTGGCAGCTAAATGAAAAACTTTTGTTACCTTCACGAGAGCTAAAATAGCCAATTGGCCTGGCTCTGTTATCTCTTTCATGAAATATTACCAAAGATGTATCTTCATAGCGTTGTTTAATTTGATATAAAGTTTCTGCATATGTGGTACTATTTTTATTCATTGAATTTTTTCTGAAGGAAATCTGTATAGAGAGAAGTAAAACTAGTTACAATTTTTATCATATTACAATTTCTTGCTATTAAAGTTTTTATCCACAGACTTACAAATTTATGATACAGTATAGATAGAAAATTACTAATTAAGTAAGTTAAAGCAAATTAATTATTAAGAAAATTAAAAATAGAATTTTAGTGATCAGTTGAGTACAAAGTATGCATAATATTTATTTTATCTTTAGTTCAAAACTTAAGAGTACATTTCTGTTTCAAACAAAAACCTCATACTTGGTAGATACAGTCCAGCCCTACTATAATGAACTTCAAGTCACCTAAAGTTTGGTTCACTATATCCAGTTTGATAGAAAATACAGGTCATCTCACAAAATAGTGTAAAAACTGATTAATTACACAAAAAATATTGATTCTAAATACAAATGAAAATGATGAAAATTCTAAATACCAAGTTATATGTAATTTCATACTGTCATAATGCAGATCGTAGGAAACTTTTATCTACACTTTTGCACAAAAAATTAAGGCTTTATCAGTTTTGGTTCAACATCTGATTTGAATAACAATTTATTAATAACATGCTTCGCAGCAAGCAGAGACTTTTCTTTCCATGTGTTGCATTTTTTCAACATTTTCATCATCATAAAAGAGAGGAAATTTCAATGAATCGAATCATTTTTC